ATTGAAGTAACAGTATTTTTACTTGAGTAAAAGTTGTGGTTCCTCTTCCCTCTGTGAGTAAGTCTACAGGTGACAAAAGCTTTATAAAACACTAGAAAATTATTTGAACATTTGTGTTTCTTGCATCTCATTCAGATATGATTTAGTTTTTGTGTCATTTTTGTGTTTGCCCTTTAAAAATGTGAATCTTAATACAATCATTTCTTGGAGCACTTCTTAGTCCCTGTGCCCTGGTTTGGCCCTGTTTTTTGTGTTGTGTTGTTGGAGATGAGTGTGGCAGCTGAGGGCAGAGGACACACTCACACACACACACACACACACGCACACACACACACGCACGCACACACACACACACACACACACACACACACACACAACACATGACACAACGGATTGAATTCAGTCATTGCGACAAACCACGGCTGTGACAATAACCATAAATGTCCTGCTCCCACCCAGAGTCCATCCAGACACCTCAACTAGTCAAGCCTGCCATGTGGAAAGTGCTGCGGCCTGCACAATCCAGGGCTCACACAGCGCTCCCTCTGCTCCTGCTCCTCACCACCTCTGCTCCTCACATCTTCTGCTCCTGCTCCTCACCTCCTCTGCTCTTGCTCCTCACCCCTCTGCTCCTGCTCCTCACCTCCTCTGCTCCTCACTCACCCTCTGCTCCTGCTCTCACCTCCTCTGCTCCTCACCTCCTCTGCTCCTGCTCCTCACCTCCTCTGCTCTCCTCACCTCCTCTGCTCTCACATCCTCTGCTCCTGCTCCTCACCTCCTCTGCTCCTGCTCCTCACCTCCTCTGCTCCTCACCTTCCTGCTCCTGCTCCTCACCTCCTCTGCTCTTGCTCCTCACCCCCTCTGCTCCTGCTCCTCAGCTCTTCTGCTCCTCTCCTCCTCTGCTCCTGCTCCTCACCTCCTCTGTTCCTGCTCCTCACCTCCTCTGCTCCTCACCTCCTCTTCCCCTGCTCCTCACCTTCACTGCTCCTCACCTCCTCTTCCCCTGCTCCTCACCTTCACTGCTCCTCACCTCCTCTGTTCCTGCTCCTCACCTCCTCTGCTCCTCACCTTCACTGCTCCTCACCTCCTCTACTCCTGCTCCTCAGCTCTTCTGCTCCTCACCTCCTCTGCTCCTGCTCCTCACCTCCTCTGCTCCTCCTCCTCACCTCCTCTACTCCTGCTCCTCACCTCCTCTGCTCCTCCTCACCTCCTCTGCCCCTGCTCCTCACCTCCTCTGCTCCTGCTCCTCACCTCCTCTGCCCCTGTTCCTCACCTCCTCTGCTCCTGCTCCTCACCTCCTCTGCTCCTCACCTCCTCTGCTCCTCACCTCCTCTACTCCTGCTCCTCAGCTCTTCTGCTCCTCACCTCCTCTGCTCTGGGCTTTAAGTGTCTGCTCTAGGTTCATGTGTCGCTACATGTTCCCACATTCCTCTGCTCAGCTTCAGAGTGATTCAGACACAGACAAATTCACCTTCTCACCGCCACAAAACCACAACATGTCTGGAGGTCGGTTTATCCCCTCTGGGCCTCAAGAGGAGCAGGAGCAGGAGGAACACATCATCTCTCTCTCTCTCTCTCTCTCTCTCTCTCTCTCTCTCTCTCTCTCTCTCAGGACTGGTTTTGCATGTGGAGGTCATTTCATGTTTCTACCTCTTCGTGTTTTTTGGCTGGTTTTTCACTAGTGCTGCTTTGGCTATAGTAATTATCACTAATATGAGTATGAGGCCATTCCTTAACCCTACAGAAGTTACACAGATTGTGGCACATCCAGACATGCTGTTGCAAGGAGATTTAATGTGTTTCCAGAACAATCTCCAGATCATGGAGATTAGGAGATTAGGATCATTAGGAGAGCTGGACAGGGCCGAAGAAGGTCCTCAACCCATCAGCAGGACCCATATCTTCCCCTTTGTGCAAGAGGAACAGGTTGAGCACTGCCCAGCAGACCACTAGTGTGAACATCTCTGCCCAAACAATCACAAACAGACTTCATGAGGATGACTTGAGGGCATCACGTCCTGTAGTGGGCCCTGTGCTCACCACCAGCATTTTGGAGCTCCACTCACATTTGGGTCCGGTCAAGTGGTAACGGAGGGAAACGGGCAGATTTTTATATTCAAATGTCTCTTATTCAGAAACTAGAGGGACTATTGAAATAAGTAAAGTATCAGAATGTAGGAAAGAGTTAACACTCCAACAGGGTCAAGTTAAACCTGTGATATTCTTTCAAGTTGTTGACAAAAAAATTTAAAAACTCATGTCGGTAACGGAGGGAATGAAATATGCAGCACTTTTTGGGCAATAAATCCAAACAGTGATAACTAGTGGTTCTCACTTACATATCCTTAACAAACTGGTTTGAATATTTGCTTCATATAGTTTTCTACCATATGGTACAAGATTAGGTTGAAAAACCTCTTACTTTTTGACTCATGAGATTTTTTTATTAAGATCATGGTAATGGAGGGAAAAGTAACGGAGGGAAAATTGTGCAAACAAGTAGAAGGTGCAGGATTTTACATCATTTGTCAACTTTTTTCTTCCGAATACTTTAATATTACTTCAAAATGAAAGGAAACTATTTCTATAAAATATGTCAGTCCTTCCAAGCCAATTTATATCATTTTAAATACATTTTTTTTTTTTAAATCATGTACCTTCATCAACAGTTCAAAGATGGAATAACACAAGATATGATGAAATACATCATTTATTGACATGATTTGCAGGTCTTTGAAATTTGGGAAATAATTTTTGTTCCATGTTTCATACATGGTCTGTTTAAAACATATGGAACTTTAGAACCAAAAATGGTACAGAAAAAAGGTCAACAGTTTCATAAACTAGAGTACATATGTATCTGTTCAATACATTTTTGTATCAGATGCATTAACTTGAATTTTTGGCCTTGCTGTTTATTTCTGCTTGACCGGACCCATTTGCTACATGACACCAGACATGGCAAGTCCACCACTGGTGCCCTGTGCTTTTCACAGATAAGAGCAGGTCCACCCTGAGCATCTGTGATAGACGTGAAAGAGTCTGGAGAAAACAGGAGAACACTATGATCCCTGCAACATGGTTCAGCATGAGCAGTTTGGTGGTGGGTCAGTGCTGGTCTGGGGAGGCATATACATGGACACACAGACCTCTACCAGCACGACAATGCCCGGCCTCATGTGGCAAAAGTCTGCAGACAGTATCTGGGGGATGAAGGGATTGATATAACTGATAGAACACCTCTGGGACATTATGTTTAAGTCCATCAGAAGCTGCCAGGTTGCTCCTCAGACTCTACAGGAGCCCAGTGATGTCCTCACACAGATCAAGGAGGACATCTCACAAGACTCGTCTTATTAGAAACATGACACAACTTTGTCACATGTGCAGACAAGCACGTGGGGACCACATAAGATATTGAGAAGCATTTTAAGTTGCAGAAATAAAATTTTGGCAAAATAGACCAGGCTGTCACATTTCAGGGTGTCTATAAAATGAAACCCTCTGTAGGCTGAAATTGTTATTTCCATTAGAAGAGATGGCATCCCTTTGTACCTCAGACATTGCCCATTGAAGTTAAAAATGTATACACTTGTATTGGCTTTTAATGTTTGTATTTGGTTTTCGATATGTTTTCTCCCACTTACCCACAACATGAAAGGAAACATGAGACACTTGGATGAGTGCTTGTTTTGTCTTGTTCGGAGGCGTTTTGGAGAAGTGATTCAGAGTCACAGTAAAGTCAGGCTTTAGAAAGTCTGCATCATCGTCAGATCTTTCCACACTGTGTTTGGATTTTTATGAAGAGACCAGGAATCTAAAGACAGCTCATGTCTACACACAAAGTCATGTTATGCAGTTATAATGATAGACGGAAAAGCAAGTCAGACTCGGGCCTAACCCAGGTCTAACCTGGGTCTAGTCCAGGTCTATTCCAGGAACAAAGAGAATGTTTGGTGAATTTTATCAAGGGGAAAGACGTTATTGTCCTTCTTCCTACAGGATTTGGGAAAAGCTTAATATACCAGTTAGCTCTGTTAGTGGCGCATTACATAAATCACGACCAAATAGCAGCGATTGGTTTAATGAAAAAAAAGTACCCGCCTACCACCGAGCGAACAAATCCTAATGCTGCGAGGTCAAATGGTTTCTAAGTCTATTTCAGATCTAACCTAGGACTATCCCAGGACTATGCCAGGGCTAAACTAGGGCTAATACAAGACCATCCTAGATCTATCCCAGATCTATAGGAATATAAATCTAAGCAGAGACTAGTCCTGGACCATCTAAGGTCAAACCTGGTCGAACCCTGGACTATGCCAAGACTAAAAGAGGCTGTTGTCCCTGTTCTGCTTCATGGATAGACTCTAGAAGTCATTTGTACCACACGCCATACGGCTACACAACGTTTCTCTATAATTTAATAAATGTATATAAATTGATGTCATGTATTACATTATGGATTTATGCTGCCTGAAATACAAATTTCCTTCAGTAGAATAAAGTATCTATCTGTCTATTGCTGCATTCTATTGACTGTTTGTAGTGGATAAATCCGAGTCACTTCTCCTGACATCCATTGTAAATGTGTTCTATTGCAACAGTTGGGACGCCCAAGAAAGTTTAATGTCCAACCGATTCAGTCTGCACCAAACTAGTCTGAGTTGGTGTTTCAGAATCCCGATTTGATTGGTTTTTCCATTGCAGTCTGTCTATCTCTCTCTCTATCTATAGATATAGATATAGATATAGATATAGATATAGATATAGATATAGATATAGACAGACTCTGGCAGGACTGTGTCAGGTCTCTCACAGCTGTGCACATGTGTAGTCGGAGTGCGTGTGCAGGGAGAGTGGGAGCTGTGGTTTACCACATGACCCCACACACCCGCTGGTGATTGGCTGCTGGCTGTGAGTGTGCAGCATGCTGATTGGCTGCAGGAAGGACTGGGGGGTTTATAAAGAGGACCATGAGCTGGAGATGTTAAACAGCATCTGGAGTCTGAGGATACAAGTCCACAGAGAAGTCCTCCAAGAAGCCCACAAGAACCAGAGGAACCAGACCAGAACTCCATTAAAGACCGCAGTCCAGGTGAGTTCCACACCAGTGTTAGTCCAAGTTTAGTCCAAAGTTAAGACTTGATTTAGTCCTGCTTTAAGTTTTTGTTAAATCACAGGTTAGGTCCTGTTTTAGTTCATGTTTAGTCTAAAGTTTCATCCTGTCAAATACTGGTTTATTTCAGGTTTAGTTCCAGGTTTAGTCGGTGATGCCACACAAACTAATTACTAAACTAAGACTAAACCTGGGCAGACCAGGGCTAAACCAGAACTAGAACAGAACCAAATGACCAAAGAATGTCAAATCTAAACAGTGAGTGTGAATGTATTCTAAGTCCTGGTAAAGTCACAGGTTGTGGTCTTATTTGTAGTCCTGCTTTAACTCTAGTTTAGTCATAGGTGTAGTCCTGGTTCAGTCCTGTTTTAGTCCTGTTTTAGTCCTGTTTTAGTCCTGTTTTAGTCCTGGGTTAGTCCTGGTTTAGTCTTTCTTTAGTCCTGATTTAATTCTGGTTTAGACTTGGTTTAGTTCCAGGTTAAGTCTTAGGTTAGGTCTCTGTTTGACCTTTGTTCACCTGTGTCATGCACTCTAATGCTTTAGATTCAAAATACCAATCACTTTTCTCATGGAGGATCTGATATCTGCTCATCTCCATGGAGAGTAAATTTTGCCTGTAATGTTACATAATATTGCATTATTCCATATTCAGAGGAGACGCTGCTACAGTAACAACATATTTTTAAAGCAATAAAACACCTGTAATTGATTAAATGCTAAATGTCATACTGTCAAACCTTTAAGGAAAAGAAGTTACTCAAGTAAAAGTACAATTGTAGTGCTCCATCAAATCACGCACGTATGTTAAGTAAGAGTAAAAAAGTAGTCTGTGGTAAGAGCAACATCTGATTTATTATTTGAAGAGAATGTCATTTGAAAGACAAAACATTAAATAATGCACAAGAACAGACACAAAAGTTCTGGGTTCGATGCCCGGGCCTTTCTGTGTGGAGTTTGCATGTTTCTCCCCTTGTCTGGATGGGTTTCCTCCGGGCGCTCCGGTTTCCCCCATCAACCCAAAACATGCTCCAGGTCTCCAAGAACAGTTAACAGTCAAGGTCAGTTAAATACAATCAATCAATGAATCTGTCCAGGGCACTGGTGCTAGTGGCAAGACACTTCACCCACATAGGATAAAAGTGGTGTGTGTGAGTGATGGTGGTGGTCGGAGGGACCTTTGGCGCCGATTGGCATGGCAGCTGTGCCTCTGTCAGTCTGCTTACCATCACCAGCTATAGAGTGAATGAATAATATATGCTGAATGTAATGCTTTGTAAAGCATCTTTGTGACAAAAAATGTCTGTGAAAAGCGCTATATAAATGGGGACTTACTTACTTAAAAGTGAGACAAACCAAATCACATCTGAAGGAGATGCAAGAAACACAAATGTTCAAATCTTCTCATATTGTCACATCAAGATTTTATCACTTTAGGCAATGTTTATATGATGACGGTCTGAACAGAAAATGCAAAAGTGGCGTCGCTTCTTCACTTTTTATTCCACGTTTTTCAGAAGGAAATGTGTGTACATATGGTGACGCAAAAGCATTGGTGTAGTGGGCCTGGTACGCAGGCGTACGCCGTCCACCCACTTCTCTCAACATCAGATATACAAAACTAACATACAAAATGACCTACAAATTAAATGTCAAACCGGAGCTGTTGGAAATGGTGAAAACAAACTGCATAGGCTCATGGTATCTGCACTACTGTCCTGTACCTGAGGCATGAGGGACCAGGACTGAACTTGGTGTGTCATCCTGGTGTAGTCCTGGTGTAGTCCTGGTGTAGTCCTGGTGTAGTCCTGGTGTAGTCCTGGTGTAGTCCTGGTGTAGTCCTGGTGTAGCCCTGGTGTAGTCCTGGTGTAGTCCTGGTGTAGCCCTGGTGTAGTCCTGGTGTAGTCCTGGTGTAGTCCTGGTGTAGTCCTGGTGTAGCCCTGGTTCAGGTTCAGTTCTGGTTTAGACCTGGTTTAGTCCTATTTACTCATAAACTCATAAAACACTAGCATGTAGCCTATAACTTTATACACAATTCGCTGCACATGAGCCTGGAGCAGAAGCACTGAGTTCAGGTAACAGCGATAAAGAAAGAGGAGCACTCACTGTTGGTCAGATGGTCCGGAGGTTCTGTCCTCCATGTGCTGGTTCCAGATGAGGGCGAGCAAGACCAGTGCGAAATGGACTGGGGCGGAGCGGTCCGAGCTGTCCTCTGTGCACCGGATCCATGCAGGGAAAGTGAGAATGCGCTGTGGACTACAGGTGGGCTGCTCCAGTCCTCCGTGCTCAAGGACCGTGAATGGTTATGAGGTGGTGCAAAGAATTCAGACAGAAGCGCGAATCCAGTTTGATTCGTTAAATGTTGTTCTGAGCTGTCTATCCTCTGCCCTGTCCGGGTTCTTCCCAGGGAAAGCACTTCTCAGGCTGAGGCACCTAACACCACTCCCTGCTCCAGCTCCTCTGAGCCCGGCCTGAACCGGAACTGTTCCCGCTGGGTTAGGACTGTGGTTTGTACCTAGTCCAACTGTAGCATTCCTCACACGAGGGTAAAAGAAGGGCATTTTAGAAGTTGAATCAATTACCAATTGTCATCAAATTATTTGGTTCATTAATAGCCTAAAATAACAAATGCTGGTTGCTACATGAACACAGGGAACACCAGGACCTCTCTGTGCGTGCACCATCGACTGGTTCTCCAGGTCTCATCCGCAGGTGTATGGCTCGCCTACGATGAACTGATGCATCTGAGACAGTGTAGACAGTAACCCTATGACACAGTCTATTCAACTTTTCCACCCTGGAGAGTGGCTTTAGATTTTTGCATTTTAAAGCCCCAAAAACGCCGTCACCATCTAAACGAAAAGCACTTCCCATAAAATATTTTGTCATTTTTAGGCACAAGTGTTCTCGTGTAAACAGACCCTTAGACTCACAGTGGGAAGAGGATACACAGCTTTTCAAATAACCTCAGTACAAATACACTGTTAGTCAAGTAGGAGTAAAAGTATGCTGCTAGAAAAGTACTCTGAAAACAGTAGAAAAAAATAGTTACTCTAGTAAATGTAACTGATTACTACCCACGTGTGCTGTTGTATTTGTGATGCGTTGGTGCGTTTGGCCTGTGCCCTGGTCTTATGTGTCAGACGAGTGCACAGTGGAATGTTCCGTCCCAGTTAAGCTGGGCTCACTCCTGTTTTTGCGCTGATGTTTTGCATGTTCCTCTTATGCCAAGGCTTTACTTAGAGCTGGAAAATGAGCACTTCTTTTTAAAGACTTTACAGTAGCGGAGAGTCCGACCCGTGATTGGCTGAGGGGGGGTGTGGTGGGCGGTGGCCTGTGATTGGATGATTAGCAGGAGGAAGTTGTGGGCAGAAATGACAGAGTGTGGAGGGAGGGGCTGCTCACATATTCTAAAAACATATTTTTTTTAGTGAAGGTGGAGCAGGTGAGGATTTTTAGCCACTTGTCTTTAAGATGTTATTGTTTTGCCTGGAATGTTCCACCTTGCGGCATTAAATGCATCTATAATGCATCTATATAATTACAAGAAATTAAGCAAATTGAAGTTAGTTTAGTCAGCAACTCAGAAGAGACTGGAAAATGATGGAATTTTGACTGATTACTAAACCAGGACTAAATCTGGACTAAATCAGAACTAAACCAGGACTAAACCAGGACTAAACCAGGACTAAACCAGGATTAAACCAGGAATAACCAGGCCTAAATCTGGACTAAATTCAGATTAAACCAGAACTAAACCAGGAATAAACCAGGGCTAAACTAGAACAAAACCAGGATTAAACCAGAATAAAACCAGGATTAAACCAGAACTAAACCAGGAATAAACCAGAACTAAACCAGGAATAAACAAGGATTAAACCAAGACTAAACCAGGGCTAACCCAGGACTAACCTAGGACTAAACCAGGATTAAACCAGGACTAAACCAAGGTTCACGACCCAGATCTTCCCTCTAGCCCAGAGCCGGACCCAGAGCCAGTCCAGGACTGCAGGGCGGATGTGGTTGTCTGTGCACAATAAAACCTGGGCCTGTTTGCTTAGGGCTGTGGTGCGTTCGAGGGCTGTGGTGCGCTGGAGGCCCTGGTGTGTTCGGGTGCTGCAGGACTCTGTAATGACTCGGCTGCACTGTGTAATTGAGCAGGTTAAAAGAGGAAAGCATGTAAAGCCACAACTTCTCTGGCTCCACACGCCCTGCATACAGCTATATTTATGAGAGAAACGCATGCAGACCGGGTTAAGTCCTGCTTTAGTCCTGGTTCGGTCCCGTTCGGGGTCCTGCTTTAGTCCTGGTCGAGTCCCCTGTGTTGTATTGTCTGTTTGAACGTTGTCCCCTGTTGTGTTTGACAGGATGAAGGTGCCGCTGCTCATTGCTCTGCTCTTCACCGCAGTCCTCTGTCGACCGGTCAGTCTCCTCTTCATTTTCTGACTCCTACATCATGTCTCCTAAGGAATGACCATTACATCCTCAATCCTATGTTATGTTCCCTACGTTCTGACCCTTATAGACTCACCCCTAAGCCCTGGCCCCTTTTACATATCCCCTCTGTCCTGTCTCCTGTGCCCTTAGCTGTATGTCCAAACCACTACATCCTCCAACTAAGCCCTGTGCACTTTTTTCCATACTCCTATGCCATGTCCCCTATGCCCTGACCCTAATATCCTGACCCCTAAGTCATGCTGAGGAGGAGCTCAAAGGGAGCAGAGGAGAAGGCAAAATAGATTGAGCTGAGGAGGAGGTGCAGAGCAGGTGAGGAGGAGCTAAGTCCATGTTGAGGAGTATGAGGCTGGAGTCTCCTCTGTGTTCTCTTGGATAGTGAGACATGTGAGCAGAACTGTGGTCGTGCGGTGGTCAGGCTGTGGTCAGGCTGTGGGGGAGGCTCACCACTTCACTGGATTTGGAGGGGCACATACAGACCCCGGGCCTTCATTCCATTCACTAAGATACTTTTTGTTTTCATCGGTGTCATATTTTTGCTGTCTAAAATATATAAGATGTAATCATAATAAAGGTGTGAAAGTATTGAAAATAAGATACGAATTTATATTAAATTATATTAATTAGTATTAAAACTCGACTCATTAGAGCAGGTATTGCTTTAGAATGAGCTTGAGCTGTATGAGAACAAGTCCAAGAGTTATAATTGGTATTGAATATCAATGAGTCTATTATTGAAATCAAACTTAACTTTTGCTGACTAAAACAGTAACATAAAGTTGATCTCTTTGTCACTATAACATATAAATGAAAGAGAGAGACGAGACAAGATTCAAGTAGCACTCTTCATTCCCTGAGCTCAAAAACAGACCATAAACAAGCCTGTCCAAGAAGCATCTTCTCACACTAGTTTTCATTCCAGGCGAGGAAGGTTTCTCTGAGCAGTTCGGAGAGCTCTGAGGAGGTGGTGAGTACACATGTTTCTCTACAGAGTTCCTCACGGTCGAAACATGGACGCACTGACCTGACCCTGTCATTTTGTGTCCTACAGGCAAGACGTCCCACTTCTGCGCTCCAAAGACAGTCCCAGTCCACCTCTGTACAAGTCAGTAAAGCAGGCCAGACCATGTGTCACACACAAACCATAAATATTCAAGCATTCTTTTCTCAAATGGAAAACACTTAATACACTTTTTAAACTCCATACACCTTCACTAGAATCATTTGGATAATTTCAACCCTGGACTCTTGTCCTCACTGGTATCTGGACCAACAGACCACATGAGGCTTTGTTTAGGTTCCTTCAGATCAGTTGTGGTTAGTGACCCTTCACATGTCCAGAGTCTGAGCTCCTAAACCTGTGTTTCTGTTTCAGCACGTGTCCGTGTCCAGCAACTCTGATGACAGCAGTGAAGCCTCCGAGGAACAGGTCAGACCCTGACCTCACCTCCTGACCCCACCTCCTGATCCCACCTCCTGACCACACCTCCTGACCCCACCTCCTGACCCTCCTGACCTCACCTCCTGACCCCACCTCCTGACCTAACCTCCTGACCACACCTCCTGACCACACCTCCTGACCCCACCTCCTGACCCCACCTCCTGACCACACCTCCTGACCTAACCTCCTGACCACACCTCCTGACCACACCTCCTGACCCCACCTCCTGACCACACCTCCTGACCACACCTCCTGACCTACCTCTGACCCCACCTCCTGACCACACCTCCTGACCCCACCTCCTGACCACACCTCCTGACCTAACCTCCTGACCACACCTCCTGACCTCACCTCCTGACCCCACCTCCTGACCACCTCCTGACCACACCTCCTGACCCCACCTCCTGACCACACCTCCTGACCTCCTGACCACCTCCTGACCTAACCTCCTGACCACACCTCCTGACCTCACCTCCTGACCTCCTGACCACCTCCTGACCACACCTCCTGACCCACTCCTGACCTCCTGACCTAACTCCTGACCCACCTCCTGACCTCACCTCCTGACCCCACCTCCTGACCCACCTCCTGACCACACCTCCTGACCACACCTCCTGACCTAACCTCCTGACCCCACCTCCTGACCACACCTCTTGACCCCATCTCCCAAGACAAGATCATTTCTGTATTGTCTTACAATCAATGGTTTTCAAAGATGAAAACAATAAAAAAAACTCATTAAAATTATATCTTTGAATGAGAAGTCTTCAAAATGGAGCCTTTATACAAGTGACTGAAAGGCATGAGTAGATTTTCTACTGTCCAACCCAGACTAACTAAATCCCGATCACACTCAGACTCACTGGAGCTCTTCAGATCACTACTAAAAACTCACCTGCTCAAACTGGCATTCCCCATGATTCCTCCGTTTTCTACAGTGTCACTGTTTATTTGTTTATAAAGCGTTTATATAAGTGCTATATAAGTCTGATGTATATGTGTTATTATGATGATGAAGATGATGATGAACCAGTACTGCCCTAATCCCAACCGATCGCGCTCCTGCCCAGCCTGATTTCAACTCTTCTCATGTCATGTGTTGTCACTGCAGGTAGCTGCAGATGTTTCGCTGCAGCTGAAGTCTGCCTCTCTGTCCGACTCTGTGTCCGACTCTGTGTCCGACTCTGTGTCGGCCACAGCCTCGGCCTCCACACAGAGCCCGGACAGTGAGGACAGCGATGATGATGACGATGAGGAGGAAGATGATGATGACACAGAGGTGAGTTTAAGTTCACACTAGTACATGTTCATTCTCTTGCTGAATTATTGTTTGTGGCTGACTGGCTACCAACCACACTGAGCAGTTTCTTAACTTTCTTTTAAAAACTGATCTTATATTTTGAACTTATGGAAACCCAACCAATTAAGTTCCCGAGAAGCACATGAATGCAGCAAAAAGAAGTGAAAGGACAGAAGGATTATTGGGTTGTGTGATCTGAGCACTTTGTTTTTCCTGTGTCCGTGGTGACCCTGCATGGAGCTAGCTATGCTAAGCTCTGAAATGCTATGAATTGAAATTGAAAACTTGAATTTCAGGAAACTGAGGAGTCAGAGAGCTCTGAGTCTGGTGAAGCCTCCACCGTGTCCACAGCTACAGTGTCCCCGGTGATTGTAACCGATGATGTTACCACAACAACCATTGTGGAAGAGATGACCCCTGACCCCATCAACCCCACCATTGTCACGGACGACACCGCAGACTCAGGGCGCGGGGACAGCCTGGGCTCGTATCCCAGCGAGTACAAGACCATTGTGTATGTGGAGGACAAGTCCTACCACAAACTGCCTGAACCACACAAGTCCTGGGACTACACCAGCAAGAAGAGCGCCTATGAGCCCAACTACGACAACGAGGTGCACAAGGCCTTCAAGGTGTACAAGGTAACAGCTCTTTACAATCAACATCACAACTCACACAATACATGTATAATGTAGAGGAGCTCAAGGAAAAAATTGTGTGAACTTGAAGCCAACGTGCATGGTTCTACTCTGCCTATGGTCCCACATTATTAAAGAGGACTATTACTCTTCTCTGGGTATTAACTCACATCATCATTAGATCACCATGTTACTTTTAATGTTTTGAAAATGCTATACTCTCCACAAAGAACAAATTAACATGTTTTATATCTTTACCTATGCTAAGTTACTCCCCATTCGGAGCATTATCACATTACAATCAGTGTGCATTCGGCTAATGAAACTACTGCACTTCGCTTCAGGTTTGTCAGGTTGTGTTGTATTGTGTTGCATCGTCAGAGTCAAGCGAAAAGCACTTGGGAGAGAAATGTAGATATGTAGATAATCTCAAACGTGCATGGATGACATCTAAAACCTCTTCAGACATGTTTATGATGAGGGAACATTATTAGAACCCTTTGGACTTATTTGGACTTGGACTTGATTGAACTGTTTTTGCTTCTAAGTTTGATTTGCACTACAACAACACTTTCTTGTGTGTGTGTGTGTGTGTGTGTTTGTGTGTGTCAGGGTGTGCAAGTTCATCAGGAGCTGCTGGAGGAGGACACCAGCACCCCGGAGGTGGAGAGCCAGGACCTGAGCCCCAGACAAGCCTCTCTGGACATGGAGGGCAGCCCCAGCCAGAGCAGCAGCAGCGACAGCACCAGTGGCAGCACCAGTGACAGCACCAGTGACAGCTCCGGCACCGCTGAGGAGGAGGACGCCCAGGCAAAGTGAGAGCTCCAAAAGTTAATTCACTGTTGCAAGAAGAATCTCTACATGTTAAAATGAGTTAAAGGGCCCATATTACACTATTTTCTGATTTATGTTCCAGTGTTTACCCACAGTTGTGTTTTGTTTCATTCACGCATTTTAACACACACATCCTGCAGATTTAGATACGACTGAAATGATTCTGGTGAAGGTGGGTGGGGTTTAAAAACTCACTAGGGCACTTTCTGTACTGGAGAATTGACAGAGTGTTTTCTGTTTGAGGTCAGAACTCAGCCTAAATGTGCAGGGTTTGTGTGTTAAACGTGTGAATGAAACAAAACACAACTCCAGGTCTGTTTGTGATGAGGAAACTATATTATGACAAAAAAATATATATAGTGTAATAATAGTACTTTAGAGATGCATTTCATTTGTGAGCCATTAGTTTCTGCCTTGACTAGCATGCTAACATCCATCAGTCAATCAAACTGTATTTGTAGAGCACTTTTTATACATTTGAAATGTAGCACAATGTGCTTCACATGCAACAGAAAAATGACAACAGCAGAATCACCCCAACCCCACTGTTTCATCCAAACTTACAGCAGTTTAAACAGAAACATAAAACATAAAGCTTAGAGTAAAGATTAGAGTAAAAAAATAAGATAATTAGATGGAGACTAAGTAGAATAATAATAATACTTTAATTTAAAACAAATGTAATAATAATAGAAAGTATATAAATATGAAAATAAAAGCTACATTTAAAAGATATGTTTTGAGTTTACTTTTAAAACTATGAACTATCGCAGTGGACCTCAGGTCTCAGGTCGACTGTTTCCCAAAGGTAAAAGCTGATTGACGAGTCCAAACGACTTGAGGCAAAAAAGATGAGACCTGAGGACCTGAGAGTCCAAGAGGCTCATATGATAAAAGCAGATCAGATAAATAAATAGTGTGGTGTGATGTGCTCTCTCTTCCTGGTCCTCGTCAGCAGCTGCTGCAGAGTTTTAGAGGAGCTGTAGTGGAGCTGTAGTTTTATTTGGAAGATCAGAAAGGAGAGCATTACAGTAATCATCACGGTTTGTAATAAAAACAGGTATGAAAGTCTCTGCACTGGCTTGAGAGAGAAATGGTCTGACTCTAGCAATACTCAGAGCTAAGCTCACTATCAAGAATAACTCCTCAACATCTAACCCTCTCACAGGGTTCAGCGAGGAGGTTTGGAGCTGAGCTTTGAGCCTCTCTCTCTGAGCTTCAGGACCAATAATTAAAACCTCGGTTTTTCTCCCTGGTTGTGCTACTGGACAACAAAATGGTTTAGAATTAGATGACAACAACATGCAGCTGCATCTGCATCTGTATCATGTAATGTATCTGTACTGGGCCACGTTTTGCTCAAATACATGTGAACTATTGGGTACAGAGCTTTTAAGCATAAAAGCTAAAGTGTGTGTGTGTGTGTGTGTGTGTTTGCAGAGCAGACAGCATCAGCTCTGCTAGTACCCACGAGGAGAGCACCAGCACCCACGAAGAGAGCGCCAGTGCCAGCGAGGAGAGCCCGGAGGGGGAGAGCCTGAGCCAGAGCAGTGAGGAGGCCACAGCTACACCAGGCGCCGCCGACAGCCAATCAGACGAGAGCGATGAGAGCCAGTCAGAGGAGGACACACAGCAGCCCGAGCTCACCACTGACCTGCCAGTGGTCATCACCGCCAAATAAGCCCCGCCCACATGGACAATATCCCAAAGGACTCACTTACAGCAATGAGCTCATCAGAAGTCTGTATGCATCATGTCTTATTTATTTGAAGAACACTATCTGTGTAATAGAACCACACGTGTGCCTGAAGGAGCTATGGCCCTGGGTGGACCAAACTCATGGAGGAATTCAGGTAACTTCAGGTACAACAGAGAGTACATGCAAAACAGATTTTTCTATAGAGGATTATTTGTTTCATCAGATTTTGAATTTTAAATGTTGTTGAATTTCTCACTTGGACATTTTTACTCTTCAAAAAACATGTTTGGTCTTTTTTGATGGGCTTGGAAATAGATTTAGCTGAATAATATTAAAGGTGATCATTTTTTAGATAGAATTTTTAAACACATTGAAAATGTATACTTAAAATTCATCAATTTAAATTCAGAATAATAATATGTTTTTTTAGCGTTATAAACTTCAATGGCATTTAAAATTCTAAATCTGATGATACAAATTATCTTCCATTCCTCCTCTAAAAGCAAAAAATAAAATTAAAAAAAAAAAAAAAAAAACAGAGACGTAATTCTGATGCAGAAATTTGCTTTGAAAAATAATTTGTAAAGATGTTTTCTTGTGTTAAATGTTATTCCTTTATGCACTTATTTCCTTTTGGCACTCAGATATATTTGATAAATATTTGCATATATTTGCTGTTCTACTCTCACATATGCAGGAAACAACTCAGCAACTCGGGTGTGTTAGTTTTAGTGTAGCTCCTCCCTTCAGACAGATATAAAGCGGTGACTTAACAAACGAAGAGCGACCAAACATATTCAGTTGCTCTTTTCCTAACATGCTCTTAAAGCGGGACTAAACACCTAAACTCATCCCACAACCACATTCCCAACTGAGCTGCTAAACTGGACCGTACCTGGAGGAGTAAAGGGAAGAATGAGGGGGAGGAGGAGCAGGTCTGGAGGGTTTTTGGAACATTTCAAATTCTAACCCTGCAGCCAGAAACACCTGACTGTAGTCACTGTCACACCACTGTCAGAACACACAAATGTCCACAGGCCTCCACCTGAAGCACTGTTTTAAGGTCAGTGTAAAAATACATAATAAAGTATTTAAGAACATCTCTGTCATTAATTTCACATGAAACCATCACTGATTCCAAGTCCTTCTCTGGCACAACAAATCATTTCAAACAGATTAGTTATTTGAAGCTGTGGGCTCACTCACTCATTCAAGCCTGATGCTGTTACTGCTAACACTATTAGGCAAAGATCTAGAACAATATGAGTGGTTGCAATTTTTGTTTTTCTTTTGGAGCTTTCCACCATATTCTAATGTTGTTCCTCATCCAAAACATGCCTGGAGAGGTTTTAGATGTCATTCTTGTATGCTACCAGACCTACGTCACACAGGCTCCCACACAGCTATTCTCCATAAACAGACAAAAACAAGACACAAAAGTACAAAAAGTACACAGCAACTGGACAAACCTGATGTGGAGAGCATCATGGAGAGCACAGTGATTGTGTTGTGCTAAGAAGGGGGAGTGACTTTACTTCAGGAATAAAACACATTTTTCTGTGTGAATATAGTATTTTCAAAACAATAAAAGGTAGCATGGCTTTCTAAATATGTTATGTGTTACAGTTAATATCCCATAGAAGTCAAGTAGTAAACACATGATTTTGAGCACATTTACACATTGTGTGTGTACTTGGAAGTGTCACAGCAGACTCCCTCTCTCCTGCACCTGCTGTAGTCACATGCTTTGTGTGTGATTGCTTAAAAGCCGTTGGGATGCGAGGCGAAGTGTATTCATATGTCCAACTGATTGAATGTAACCCTTTTTCGATGGACTATGTTTTATTTTATCATATTATTATTCATAATAAATGCTCTTAAAGGAATTGTACACAGCCTGCACTCTTACTCAGAACCTTCAGAATTCCCTCCCTGAGCTGCAGAGGCTGCACTAGCACTGACTCATGACTGGTGCAGGTGCTGGGGTTTAGGGAGTGACCGTCAGATCAGAGAGACACATTTTAGATTTAAACACACTGGATTTTAGCATTGAAACTGGAAACCCACATGAGAGAGTCATGTGAGGCTCATTCTGCTTTGTGATTGGAGAATCATTAAATTAAAAAAGCAATTATAATTATAGCAATAATTAAGAATAAATCAACATTGCAGTTGTTAAGCTATTTGATTTGAATACATTTATCTTGCATCTTACCTCGCTGTGCAGGTCCACCAGATGGAGCTGCTGCTTTGAACAAAAGCCCAACATCACAATACAGATCCCAGACCAGTGCAGGACAATGTCAGCCTCTTTCTTGCTCTAAAGTGGGTGGAGCTTGTTTTTCTTTATGGTATTTATTTGTGAGGATCCTTGGAGCAAAGGCAGTACACTAACAAGAGATTTCAAATGTAGGAAGAGGATTTGACTCTGTCATTTTGGGAGTGTCTGTGTGACATCCTGAAGAACTGAGGGTTCTGAGAAGAACATCATTTACATCACATTTATTTATCGGGACATGTTTGACATAGATGTGTGACTCCATGCACAATACCTCAGTGATACTACTACTACTACTACTACTACTACTACTAATAATAATAATAATAATAATAAAAAGGCAGATGCTATTTGCACAATGGGTGTAAATAACTAACATTGTTATTCACACATAGGGCACATAGCCATTGTTGCTGTTTACACCCGGGTGTATTTAGTGTGGCACACAGAAGGGCACCTGGGTGTTCCTAGACAAAAATGCTATTTACACCCAGGAAAAAAAACAAAACTCACTGTCAGTACAAACATAAAGGCCCCAGCCCAGTGAAAATCAGTAATATTTGATGTTTTTTTTTTACTCAAAATGATGCGGAATTGATCAATCAATCGCAGTCTGTGCCTAATGGTTTAGTCCTGGTTAAATCCTGTTTTAGACTTGGTTTTAGTCCTGGTTTAGAACTGGTTTTAGTTCTGATCAACTAACATAACCGTTAGCTATACATCGCACAAGCTCAATAAACTGCCCATGATGCCGTGATGCCTTCAACTTAATTACCCAAACAGTAATGGTCGGACAGGCATTGCAAATATATTTTGTAGCAACACTGACTTACCTTTTACCTTTTACCTTACTTTTGTTTTGAATTTTATTTCTTTGGATTCTCAAATCCAGCTTCCCACACTTTTCACAGGAAACGACGTGAGCAGACATGTCACCATTCCCTTTTTTCTTGAGATGGGTGTAAATAAGAATCATGTCCATTGAACTATTAACACCCGAGGTGCAAGTAGACACTCCATAAAAAAAACAAAACAAAAAAAAACTTTCTTTAGACAATAGAATGTTATTTTCAATATTAAATAGTAGTACTTTCTTTTCTATTCCCATGTGTCTTATATGTGTGTAATGGTCAGTGGTGCAGTAGGTTCATGTTGGTCCATGTGTGTGTACTAGTCTATGTGCTCTGACACTTGTTCTGATACAGCTCATCATCATTCTAAAGCTGCAGTATTCTAAAGCAGGAACAATTCATTTCTGTCCTGTCAATAGGACTTTTTGATCACTTTTTATTAATAACTGCTACTTTAACCCAACATCTCTTTTCTCTGCAGAGTACATGATGGCTAAAACTATGAGATAATGCTGATGTCATTCCATGGACACTGTTTAAGAGCAGTCCTTTTATTAAACTGCACTGAGACATTTGACACAAAATCCACTGAGACGCACAGTGGAAATGCTGCAGCAAAACTTGAATTTCCCTCAGGATCAACTAAACCTGGACTAAACCTGGATTAAAGCAGGACTAGAATGGTACCAAACTAAATCAAATCATTAGGACTCAAGATGGACCCAAACAAGCAGGTAGTGCCAGATCAGAGGAACAAACAATTGAATAAACAAATCATAATACAGACTAGACCAGACAACTAAACCCATTTAAACTGGATGTATTTTCCCCCAGACCAGATCCTAAATCAACATGACAGGAAAGAGCTGGTCAGTCTGTGCATGTGCAGTGTTTGTGTCAGATCATTCATAAATAGAGGTGTGCAAAAAGATCTAAATATCGATATATCGTACCGTTTAATGTGATGATACAGTATCGATATCGTGAGCTGCTGTATTGATATATCACCAAGAGTATTTTTTGATATATTTTTCAAAATTATTTTGGTACACTGCTAAAATTTTGTTGCTTATTCAGTGAAAAGAAACTCGTTTATGTGACAGATTTGACATTTTTTTATAGATAAGGTTGTAATATATTTACATTGAATACATACATTGAATCAAAAGTGCACTGTATCAAGATGTGTATGGTATTGTGGCCTATGTATCGAGGTATGTATCGTATCGGCATCTTCTTAATGATACTCAGCCCTATTCATGAACGTCATGGGTCTTGTTCACGAGTGAGGGGAGGATGGAGCGTGACATTGGCAGGTGGATCAGTGCAGCGTCAGCAGTGATGCTGTCACTGTATCAGAGTGTTGTAGTGACGAGGGAGCTGAGCAGAAAGGCAAAGCTCTTGATTTACTGTCAGTCTTCGTTCCTCCACTAACCTGTGGTCATGAGCTCTGGGTAATGACCGAAAGGACCAGATCACTGATACAAGTGGCACAAATGAGTTTCCTCTGCTGGGTGGCTGGGTGCTCCCTTAGAGATAGGGTGAGGAGCTCAGTCACACAGGAGGAACTCGGAGTAGAGACACTGTTCCTCCACGTCGAGAGGAGCAGCTGAGGGGAGGGCATCTGTTCTGATGCTTCCTGGGTGTGCTGGAGGGACTTTGTCTCTGGGCTGGCCTGGGAATGGCCTTCCCCGGAGGAGCTGGAGGAAGTGCCCGGGGTGAAGGAAGCCTGCTTAGACTGCTGACCCCATGATTTGGCCCTGGATAAGCGGAAGAAATTGGATGGATGGATGCCTCTTTCAATCCCCCTTTAGAGCACTACCTAATTTTAATAATGAAACTACTGCACATTGCATCAGGTTTGTGAAGTTGTAGTGTTCTGTTTTGTGCAGGAGACTGGATTCCAAAGACTTGTGGATGGAAACTTGTACAGGCTTGAACTGCAAAATGTAAGGAGGATTCAAATAGCATTGGGAGAGATCGCAAGAATATTGCAACATGCAAGGATGACGTATAAAACACAAATGTTTTTGTCTTTGAGGGAACAAAGTTAGATGATGGTAGAAAGCTACAAAAAGAGAATAAATAGCCCTCTTTAAGTTTTCTCTTGTGGACATGGCTGTGGGCTCGTCTGTGTCTTAGCAGTAGGCTTTTGGTTTGGGTTCTTTTAGAAACAAACATTAGTTCACTTTTCTGGGGTAGATAAGTTGTGAGTTGTGAAAAGAGCAGTGAAAGTGAAGCTCAGTGAGTTCATGTTCAGTCCGTGTTAGGCGTCCCCTCTGCGGATGGTGACTGGGGGCTCTGTGGAGATGTCCACAGTCACACAGCCAGTGACCATTGTGGGCAGGTGTGTCCCGGGCAGGCCTGTTGTCATGGTGACAGGGAGCCCGGTGGGAGGGGTGGAGCCGGCAGGGGGCAGCTCTGTGGGAGGAGCCTGAGTGAGGCGTTTGTCTTCTGAAGACTCCTCGGAGGACTGGGACTCGCTGGAGGATCTCGTGGCTGTGTAGAACCTCCACATGTTCATCCTGTCCTGGTCTGAGTCCTGGTCTGAGTCTGAGTCTGAGTCTCTGATGTGTGCTTTATGGTGCAGCAGCAGTTTGGCCTGAGGACACATGGGAAACTAATTTAGACGTATGTTATAAGGAGAAGAAATGATATGTAAACCAATGAAACCAACCAATGATAAACCAAGCCACCTCCAGAAAGCAGAGGTGCTAGAGTAGCAAAAATTGTACTCAAGAGCAATGTTACTTCAAAATAATCAACTAAATCATACCTGAAGCAGTGCAACAAGAAACACAAATGTTCAAATCAATTCATATTGTCAAGCTTTTGTCACAGCAGGAAAAGGAACTACAACTTTTACTCAAGTAAGAGTCCGGGTTCCCACTCTTTTTCACTGACAAAATTTCAAAACTTTTCCATAACTTTTTCATGACCTGAAGTGAATTTTCCATGACTTTACAACACCTACATGTGTAGAACTGATCAAACTTTTAGAGCTAAATATGAAATGTTAACTCTTTCCGTATGGTTTGGGATTATAGTTTTTGAACATTCTAAATCCTGTCAGTGCTTTTATTGTCGTCTCTTTTAAACAAAAGTCGCATATTTTCAGAAATAATCATAACATCCTCATGAGAACTTAACAGAATGCTGGAGTTGCATGAAACAGATACTAAAATTCCTTGACTTTTCCAAAACTTTCGTTGAATTTACAAAATTTCATGACTTATCCAGGCCTGGAAAATGACATTTTCAATTTCCATGACTTTTCCAGGATTTGACTGTGGGAACCCTGAAGAGTACCATTACTTGAATACAAATACAGTAGGAGTAAAAGTATGCTGTTAGAAAAAGTTAAATATCTTTTAAAAGTTTAAAAAGTTCAGAGAGTTACATACTGTAACTATAAATGACTTCAAATAATATTGTATGAGAACATTGGGCTGTGAATGAATCCTAAAACTGTAAAGAAACAGTGAAAATCCCATTCTACACATCAGAAGTCAGATCTGGACTTGTACATGGTTAGTGGTGGTATTATTACCGGGCCGGCACAGGCACTGCTGAGGAGGGCACACACCAGAGCACAGATGAGGAGCGCCATCTTCTGTCCACTGTTCTGCAGAGGGACAAACCATCAAGAGGTCACCAAGAGTTCATCAGTCTGACCTCAAGTCTCGGTGAATGGACAAGTCTACAGGTACACAGGTAGGTTCACAATTGCACAATCACCACATATACTGTACATTGGTTCAAAACTGGAACTAAATTTGGAAGTGTACCTGAACGAGAACAGGAATAAACCAGGATTAGAACAGGACCAAAACAAGTCTACATCAAGACAAACAGACACATAGAGAACATGCAAACCCCACAATGTTTACACAGAAGAACAAGCAGAGCAGAGGTGGTGCACAGGCAGTAGACATGTCCAGGACTAAATTATACATAGACAAATCTGTAGAGTTAAGCTATATTTATTTGGAAGACATGCAGGGGGTTAGAGGACGGGGGGACAGAGGGACATTCAGACACGTAATGGACATCGTCTCACCTGCCCTTCTGAATCCTGAGTCTCCGTCACAGTGGAGCGCGTGAGGCACTGCGGGCGCTTATATCCTCCTGGAGTGGTATGTGGGCGGTGCCGCGTGGAGGGGCTGAGGCTGTTGGAGCGTCCTAGGATGGTGTGTATCTGCTGGGGTGGGGGAGCGACGCAGGAGGGTCAGGATGTGGGCTAACCTTGGGCAGTGTGGCAGTGAAGGGGGAACATACCAAACATAGCTCTCATAGCTGACAACACCCCCTTCTGAACATCTCTCCATGGCTTAGACGTCATCACGCTGTTGGCCTTGTTGTTGCTTTTCAGTTTCAGGAATTGCCCATATGACCCCATTTTCTGATCTATGTGGTGACGTTTTCTTGCCAAAACTATGCCTGAAGTTGTGTTTTGTTTCATTCACACAAGTTTAACACACAAACCCTACATATTTAGGTTGAGTTCTTCTCTCAAACTGAAAGTCAAACAGTTTCACTTGGATGGATTTGAAAAGTATTACTGCATGACATCACAAGGTGAAACAGAGTATTTGGAGCTTTAAGATGTAAGATTACACATGAGTGAATGAAAGAAAACCAACTCCAGTATAAATGTTTTGAATAAAGGTAACAACATTCTAACATAGGACCTTTAAATAGGAATAAAGTTATGAAATGTTTTAACAGTGTTGCAGAGTTGTTCGGAGCTCTTGAAGAAGCCCAGTGATGGTTGTGTGTGGTTAAGATCTGCCCACGCTCACACTTACTCACTACTGTAAATCTCCCAGTGGCAAACATCAACACTTCAAAACAGGAAACGGTTCACATGGCATTATTGTGAACAACAGGAGGCAGCCGCAGTGACACAAACACTATGTGTCTGTGGAGACATTACATGAGATAAACAAACTGAATCATGGCACAAGCCAGTTGTAGTGCCCAACTCAGCTGAGCCTGTACCAAACACCACAGTTCAGGTTTCTCTAAAAACGAGAAACTATTTAGAACATTTTGTCTTTTATTATAATGAGGAAAAATCTTTATATAAACGCAATGTCCATTTGGGTTCGAGGCATCATTAAAGCGCAACAGTATTTTGGTACAGGTCCCTCCCTCGAGCACCGGTGCTGGGCTCCAGATGCTGCTCACATGGGATTCTGCTCTGGATTTTATAATAATGATAATTATTATTCATTCAATTATTAATTATAATAATGACAATATTAAAATAATTCAACAACTAGAAATTCAGCTCTTTCAGGCTGGTTATTATATTGGCGTATCTGCCAATACCAGATATTAAACAATACCAGTTTTATTTTCTTAAAATACATTTAACTTATTACACAAGAAACCCAACAGTGTTAACAAAACTGTTATTTATTATTCACATCACTACAAAACAGTTTTGTATGAAGAAAAGTTCAAACATTATGAGACAGTAAATAGTCATTCAATTAAAGGCCCACCCAGGGTATCGACTTACGGACGTGTTCAAAATTGTTGGTACTCCTCTGATAATGAAAGAAAAATCAACACTGGTCACTGAAATAACTTGAAACAAAAAAAAAAAGAAATAATAAATAAAAATTTACTGAAAAATAACCAATGAAAATCAGACACTGTTGTTGAATTGTTGTTCAACACAGTTATTTAAAAAAACAAACTAATGAAACTGGCCTGGACAAAAATGATGGTACCTCTAGAAAAGATTGTAAATAACTGAACAATAGGGACATGTTAAACTGTGGTGTGTCTCTAATCTGCATCACAGGTTCTTCAAACTTGTCCTCAGTCAGTGTGTCTGTTTAAAGGGACAAGTGTCATTGTGCTGTTTGGAGACATGATGGACACAACACTGAACATGGAGCAGAGAAAGAGAAGAAGAGAACTGTGTCAGGAGACTAGAAAGAAAATGACAGACAAGCAGGTTAAAGATAAAGACAATAAGATCATCCCAAGCAGCTTGATGTTCCTGTGATTACAGTTACACATGTTCTTCACAAGTTTAAGGTCCACAGGACTGAAGCCAACCTCCCTGGATGCAGCTGCAAGAGGAAAATTGATGACAAATTGAAGAGATGGATCATATGAATGGAACCAAAGAGCCCAGAACAACCTCCAAACAAATTAAATGTGAAGTTGAAGGGCAAAGTACATGAGTGTCAGATCACACCATCCATCAGTGTTTGAGCCAAAGTGACTTCATGAGAGGACACCACTGCTGAGAGCAAATCATAAAAAAGTGAGACTGGAATTAACAAGAATGAAACCACAAAGCCTCTGGGAGAATGTCCTTTGGACAGATGAGACAAAACTGGAGCTCTTTGGCAAGACACATCAGCTCTATGTTCACAGACGCAAAAATGAAGCAGACCAAGAAAAGAACACTGTCCCTACTGCAGGGGTCTCCAACCTGTAGCTCGGGATCTACCAGTAGCTCTCCACCCCTTTCCAAGTAGCTCACCAAGGGAGTTCTGATTTCCACGTATTGTGCTCAATAAGTAAAATTTGATTAATTAAATGCCTTTAATGATTCTGTTGAACCACAGGTGAAAAGCAAAGTTTGATTTATGTAGAACCATTTTCAGTAATTTTTTAGTGTTTATTGTTTTTATCAGATTCAATGTATTTCAGTGATGATTGTTGATTTTTCTTTCATTGCCAGAGGGGTACCAACTATTTGTACTATTTTGTATTCTCAACTGGAGAAGGTTAAGATCAGACCATGTCATCATGATCTTCCCTAATGAAAAGGGCCTCAGCTTTATAGTACCAGTGAACCAGGGTTCCAGGGGTGTGAACAGGCCCTGAAGTGCTCCGGGAGTGTGAACAGGCCCAGACTTTCTCCCAGAGTGTGAACAGGGCCTAGACCGGCTCTTGGGGTGTGTAGAGGGGTCATGGAGGGGCCACAGAGGTTGAGGGACTCCAGGTTCCAGGTATCCAGCATCCAAATCACATTTATAATGAGCACATGAACATGCAGACTTCACAAGTGCACATCCAGGAATTGTACACTGTGCTCTGATACTATGCAACAAAATAAAGTTTGATTACTACTAGAAATATAAACAGGTTACACATATGGTATATAGATTCAGATGTTAATAGTTCTGAAAGGTTAATTCTTTTTCTTGATCAGCCCTTGAGAAGAAAATGTTCAGTGACACATTTGCAGTCACAGCAGTTTTTGGCTCTGTCGTAGGTTTTGATTGGCTAATTGGGTGTAAAGGCGCGACTTCAAGAAGCGTGGGTAGCTGTCTGTCAACATAAGGTTGTATATCTGATCCTGGGCCAGCTGAAAAGAGGAGGGGCTAAGCCGAAGAGAAAGCCTTTGATTGGTCAGCTCTCGCACCGTGGAGTCGATGTTGACCTGGAAAACACAACATTTGAGTTCAAGCTAAAATTGTGACGGGCTGCAGGGGGCGCTGTGCACACCTGTCGTGTGGCGTTGCAGGAAATAAACTCATTGTAAATCCTGGTTGCCTTGGAGACCATCTTCTGAGGGCATGTTCTCTTGAACTTCTCCACAGCTAACCAGAAGTCAAGGTTCTCCTCACTGAACTCTGAGCGCAGAAAATGTCGGAAGACCGCCAGACCATCTGACACACACACACATACACACACATGTTGGCTTTCCATCCTTTTTGGGGGCACACATTGACTAAGATTAACTTCCTGGAGACTGATTCTAACCTAACCACCACATTACTATTCGAACCTTAACTCATTTTGATCCATCTCTTTAGACCATATTGTTGATTTTATGATGCCATTTTAGGTCTTCATGATGTTCATGCCCACATGCCTGCTCACATCTACACTCTCGCTCACACGATGTGACATGTTCAAGAAGGGTGCACACAGTTGTCTGCACATGGAGGAATCAGGTCTCAAATCAGCAACTAAATGACACCCAAATGGCCAAGATGCGAATGAAGCAGTTTTGAGGCTCAGAGAAGATGACTTTAGATTAATGGATTAATGAAACAAGCTTGTATGAAACAAAGTACATCTCCATGTATGTTTTGGATGAGGCAGTATAACATGGTCACTAGGTTAAAAAAAGTCAGTTTAGCATAAGTGTTCTTTAAAAGTCCAATATTACTCAAAATAGACAGTTTTGAGCTTTAAGCCATGTTGTTACCTCATCAAAAACATACCTGGATTTGTGTTTTGTTTAAGTAATTATTAATTATTAGTCTGCCTACAACTCCACAGCAGAAAATGCTCTGTTCCACCTTGTGATGTCAATAGTTTTCAGGTTAACAGCAACCTTTTACATTTTCTTCAGTAGAGATTGTCAGTTGCAGAACTGAAATCCTCCAACTTCACGTGAAAGTGTACGGATTTTAAAACACAGTGTATATATTACCTCATGGCATCACAAGGTGGAACATCATGTGTATTGTGTCTGCGAGAAGAACTCAGCCTGAACATACAGGGTTAGTTTATGTTTTAGTGACATAGCTCAGAAAATACATACAGGATCTTTCAATAGAGTTTGGGAGTGTTCTGTTTGGACACTTACACTGATTGGTCAGAAGAGCCTCCAGGGACTCCGCCCACCTTTGGACCTGTTCTGTGGCTGGTCTGAAACAGAAGCTGTGGTCAGTGTTGGAGCACGTGGGAAGAGTGAAGTGTGAGACTGGAGGTCACCTGTTGTTCCGCAGGGCCTTCTCCAGACTGTTGCTGCTGAAGAAGCTGCTGTTTTTCCTTCGCTGGAGAAAGGCCAGGCTCACCCTAATCACATCAAACGTAAAGCTTTTAGTCCCACCCACATTTCAGCCAATCAGATGCAACCACTGGACTTACAAATTCTTGTTCCTCTTTTTGAGTGGCCCGGGTCCTGCCTCCAGAGCCTGTCCACACAGAAAAGCAGAGTTGTCTGAAAGGTTGTCTTCATTTGATGTGAATCAGTTAATCAAGACTAATTGACTATAGAAAATAATTGTAGTCATATTTTAATAATTGTAAATGCTAGCCTGTGTCATCAACATTTCCTGGAGGTGTAATGCTAACTAAAGGCACTACTCTGTCAGAGGCTACTGTACATTAGACATTAATCTGAGCTTTATTTTAACACATTCTGATCAAAAAAACATGAATTAGTTGGAACTACAACAGGTGAGATGATTTTTTTTTATTTTAAAAAGTCCCTCACACATAAAATTACAGTCACAATTCTACCTAGCAACAGTTTTTCAGTTTTTCCTAAACATGATCGCTAATAGTGATCACAGGCTTCTGAAAATGTGCTTATTTAATTCAGTTTTTTGGAGCTTTCGGATGATCTTAAACTTTTTTGGCTGTGTTTGCTAATGTCTACATTGTGTCTCCATGGTTACTACTGAACATTCCATCTTAGAGGTACATGTAGATCACTCCCTGTGTGATGTCACGTCAAAGTATCAATACAGTCTCTAAAACACACACAAAAAGACCTTTTATAACAAAGACAAAGGCATTATTAAATCAAAACCTCAAAATAATATACACTGTGGCCATAGCGGCTTGCCAAAACCCAATCCTGGTCAGTACTTGGGTGGGAGACACTGGGAAAATCAGGTGCCACAGTGGGGCGCCAGTGGGAATAACTGTCGTTGTGTCCTTAGGCAAGACACTTCATCCGCACTGCCTAGTATGAAGGTGGTCTGTGCGTGAGAGATGGCGCAGATTGGCAGCCGTGCTTCAATAGCAGTTTACCACCACTGGGTATGAAGTGAAAGAGTAATGCTCTGTAAAAGTGTCTTTGTGACATTTGTCTGTGAAAAGTGCTATATAATAAAAAACTTTCTTACTTTATTTGTAAATATTAAAAGTCTTCAGTCAGCAGATTTCCGCCTTTATTTGTTTGATCATTTATTTAAAATGTTTACAAAAAATGATTATTGACTAGCTGAAAAATGAATCGCTGACTCCAGGACTAGTAAAAGAATTAGTTGCAGGATAATTCCAATGAGCCTTTGGTTTAAACTGGAGAGAATGATTTTTTTTACTGTTAAACTATTAAATGTAATTGCTTTTCTCTATTAAGGTGTTACTGCTTTGTCTGAAATGTTTCACAGTATGGCATTAACGTTTTTATCTTCATGGAGACCAAATCAGACTAAGTAACAGGTCAGATCTGTGGAGAGGCGACCCCGCTCAGTCAGAATGTGTGTTTTTCTATGAATTTCTGAGCTATAAAACCAGCTGTAATTGAATAAATGTAAGGTAGAGTTGTTTAATGCCATACTGTGGAACATTCCAGGCAATGACATATACATAGAAATAAGCAGGTGATGGACCCTCCAACCAAAAAGTGCAACTTCAAATATTTCTGTAAATACTGACTTACACAACCACTCAAAAGTCTGGACATGCTCTCTCATTCAGTGTTGTTTTTTTCTTTTCTTTGACTACTTCCTACATTTTAGATACAATCAGAAGACATATGGGGCCCTATCCTGACACCGCTCTTTGCGCGGGTGCTAGTGTTAACGCATTTCCAGGTTGGGCTGTACTTGGCCGCTGGGAGCTGGAGTGGGATTGTACAGGTGCATATATGCTGATGGCATCTGAATCAGTCTGTGACGAGTGTGGGATTTCAAACCTCTGCCAGCATGGGTAATGTCTGCAGTCTTTGCTCCTTAGCAGGCAGCACAGAGGAGTGTGGAGAAAAAGGGAACAAAGCAAAAAAATTGGTATGGGTTAAAAAAAAAAAAAAAACAGCTCCAGAGCCTCACACACCAGTACAAGCACCCCACAAATCGGCCATGAAAAAAAATTGGGGACTGGGGTTTGGGTGCATTCCTTCGTTCATTTGTCTTTCTTGTGCACTCTCCCCCCGGTCACACCCGCTCCCGCCTGTCCTGGGCCGGGGGCAGTCTGCTCCCACTTGTCCCGTGTTTCTCACCTGAAATACAAGTTCCCACTGCTGCTACTGCTGACCACTCGCATTTTCGTTTCACAGGTGTCCTCTGCTTTTGGTCCCAAACAGACAGATGTCTCGAGGTCCGCAAATTATGGAATATATTTATTATCATATAAATGTTTCTGATTTTACCACTTTGTGGACAGACATGTCTTAACCCATGAACATACAGGGAGGGTGAATGCACGGCCTGCACTTGTAGAAAGATTTGCCACATGATGAGCAGTACCATGCTGACAGGGTAAGAAAAGACACTTTAGGATAGTGCAGTAAACGACCTCATGTGAATGAGCAGCTTTTGTACAGATTGTGATCAAACCAAACTGTAGAGCAGCGCTGAGCCGACAGAGGGAGAGGACACGAGTCTGAGCTCTGCTGCAGGAGGACATCCGAACAGCACGTGAATATGTGAATATTATGCATTTATCATATATTTAAAATAATATATTTTATAATAAAATAATATAAAATAAAAGAAGGCTTTTTATGCCTTGAATATGTTACACATAATGTTTCTGTGTGGACTAGTTTGATATTTATGTTTATGTTTCTGGTAATTCACTGAACGCTCCACACTATGCTCTCAGTCTACTCCACTCCACCTGATATTCAGGCACAGCACACCAACTGTTTAGAGCTCCATGCTCTTATGCTTGCGCTCGCAAAGGCAAGATATGCCCGATGATGTTTTCTTAACCTTAACCTTTTACATTATATATACATACATATATACTATATATATATTTTACTTTATTTTTTCACTACATAATTTTAAATACTGTATGTTGCTTCATATATTTATTGTCTTCTGTATGTAACTAAAATGTAGAAAAGAAAGAACACTTTTGACTGGTAGTGTACATGAACCAGTAGCTGACACAAAGTTCAGCGGCTATGTGTCTTCACATTAACAAAGGGCTTAAAAAGTAAAAAAAAAAATAATAATAATAAAATAAGGAATGTGTGTCTAAATAAACAGACAAACTCCAGACGTACCTTAGTGCCATAGAGCAGCTCCAGAGCCCTGTGCAGACTGCCTCCCTCAGTCAGGTGCTTCTTCAGGGTGAGCACAGACGGCTGAGGCACACCAGAACTCTCAGGGCCCAGGCTGGCTCTGAGGGGCCACGTCAGGACAGGACTGTGGGACAGGAGGTGAGGGGACCGAGGCTCATGGAGCAGTGAGCCCTCAGAAAGAGAACGGGTCAGGCCTGTCCACAGGAGAACACGAGTGGTCAGCGCTGGACACTCACATCCAAGACTAGTCAACTCATATGGCCTTAGAAAGGCAATGGACTGAAACAGTGGAGGTTCATTTCTGTTTCTGGAAGTCAAATCCCATGAAAAAAGTAGTAAGTACTTAATAGTAGAAGTAGTACTTGTCCTCTCTTAAGTTTTACACACCACCAGGCTAACTTTATTTCACCTGCATCACTGAAAAAACTAATTTGACGGCACGTTGCGTTTCAACCTGAGGAAGTTGTGACCTAACTTGGCTCACTCCAGATTGATCTGTCACTCTAAACTGAGCTCCTAATCAGTCTGGGATGGTTCTCGATGAAAGAGAAGAAAATACAGATCGTCATGACCATTATTTGAATCTGATTGGTTGAAGCGTTTAGTGTCCTTTAGTGTCCGCACAAACCTCAATGCTGCTCTGAGATTGAGATCTATCCTATCGCACCAGCGCACACATGTCAAGATGGATTCTGATGAGCGTGTGAACTCACAAATACCTACAATATAGAATCCATCTTGCTGTACACAGTTAGTGGTGACCATGTATAGTCCTTAAAACAACGAGCATTCCGTAATCCTGAGGCACCTTTAAACACTTAATGATTTTCACAAAGTCAGAGAATGAAAATGTTCCTTCCATAACCAGAAATACCCACTGCTTCATAGAGAGGAGAGTGAAGGACCTGAGGGGCTGTCTGATCCCCGCCTGAGCTGTTTCTCATAAGTGTCCTCTGGCTCTGAGTAGACAGGCACTGGCTCTACAGCATCAGGAGTTCTCTCTTGGCCTGGCTCGTGGTACTCTGTGCTCCGTGGCTTCCACACTGGACTGCACAGGGCGGAGACCGGGGCAGGAGGCGGGGCCAGCAACTCCGAGGGCTGGTCTCTCGTCTGTACACAAATGAGATGGCTCTTGGTTTGTGTACAGGCATTACAATTTCTATTTCTAACAAATGAGAGTTCAGCACTGCTAGCCCCCCCTGTTGTAGGTCATGCTCTTTAGATGTTACATAGCAGCATTTATAAGTGGAAAACATATACGTGCTCTCACCACCTTGAGAAATAAGACTGGCAAGGAGATGGAAGGAGCACAAAGTGCAGCTTCCAAAGGGTGGCCTGTTCTAATAATGTCTTGTGACTGGCCTGGGAGCACATTGAGGTCCTCATGGAGGAGGTAGAGGAAGTGTCTGGGGCGAGGGAAGTCTGGGAGTCCCTGCTCAGATAGCTGCTTCCTTCATCCGGCTCCAGATAAGTAGAAGATGATGAGTGAGGGCACATGTGTTTGGATTCACCCGAGGTGAAGGTAAATGCACCATATTATCATTATAGATTAAAGATTCATGCTGAGACCTGTATTTTATGGCTGGAGAATGGGACCATCACCTCTTCTTGTGGTGCTTAAGTTGTAAAATGTGCATATACATTTATCACCAGAACAAAACAAGGCAAAATTACATCAACTCAACTTGACTCAATGAATTTAAAGAGGTAGATTTTAATTCTAGGGGGGTATTAACTGCTAAAGAAGCATCAAATATTTAGATCACATGATACCTTATATTGTTGAAAAAACTATATTTCCCCAAAACAAAGTATTAACATGTTTTATAAGTTTCACTTTTGTTTTTGAGGAGTGCTATCACAACACAATCAGCGTACATTCACTAATGAAAGCATAGGGATTTTCAAGGTGCTGTGTAGTTTTATGTCATGTTTTTATATATTTATGTAGAATTGTCATGTTGGAGCATGGGTGACATAACCTTGTGGAGTGATCATTACACACAATCTTACAGCTAACTGTAAGGAAAGTTTGAATAAAGCTAAAACATTCAGATCTGCATGGATGACATCAGGACTCGAGGCATGTTTTTGATGAGGGAAACACATTCTAACATGGATATATGATGGGTCGCACCTGGGGGTTTCACCTTTAACTGTAATGACACTGCACCTGTTTGCACTCCGGTGAAGTTGGGCTGTTGTCATGGAGGGAGAGGCGCTGTGTCTCCATGGAAACCAGATGATGCATATTGTCATGGAGACAGATGCTGAGGCGGTGCTTCTGCTGGAGACTGTATGCTTCCAGGCTAAACTGAACAGAACCATGAGCCGTTCTCAGGAAGAACAGGTGCAGAGGCTTTGAGCTGACTGCAACAGGAACAGAAAAGGAACAGATATTTTTCCAAAATCATTCAGCCCTGGTCTGTGGAAGGTAAGTAGTAGTTCTGTAGTAGGTTAGTCATACATCTGTAGTACATCAGTGGTAAGTCAGTTGTAGATGTAGTAGGCCAAGCATTGGTCAGTCAGTTGTAGGTCAGTGATAGGTCAGTTGTAGCTCTGTGGTAGATCTTGAGTGTATGTGTAGTAGGTCAGAGGTAAGTTGGGCATTTGTAGGTGGTAGGGTCAGTCATAGTTCTGCTGTGGCTACTACCTTCGATGAATGACACGGTGTCTAGGTACACGGGGCTCTGCAGGATATTGTATCGGCCAATCTCATCCTCTTTAGTGAAGAGCAGAAGATCGGTGTACACCATAACCGTCACCTGCTCCACAGCAGACTGATGAGCCACTTCAGATTACGCAAAGAAAAATATGTGTTTAAAAAGAAGCTCAGAGACTGTACCTTGGCAGGCAGCAGGTCTGGCTGGTGCAGGATCAGGTCTTCAGACATTAGAAGAGTTCTGTTAGGGCTGCACAGATCTATAGGCTGCACAAAAACACAGTCAGTTCACACAAAGGGGCAGTCCTGGTCCAGTCCTGGTCCAGTCCTGGTCTAGTCCTGGTCCAGTCCTGCTCCAGTCCTGCTCCAGTTCCAGTCTAGCGTTGGCACAGTCCCTTTTTCGCTCTTACCTTGAGGTGTATTGGGAAGATGAGAGTTTTGGGAGCGATGGAGCCAAAGTCGTCACAAAGGTGGGATTGAACGATGGTGCAGTTCTCGTAGTCGCCATAGCAACCTAGAGTCTTAGCCAGCAGAGGGGGCAGTGTGGCAGAGGAGTATGAGGGGCGTGTGGAGGGAGGGGGGTGGTACCAGCGACCTGTGACAGAAAACATGCCCTGAAAACAAAGCCGTTCATTGGGCGACTGTGTGCTGGGAGGTAAGGTAGGGTAAGGTAATTCATATTCAGCTGATTCAAAGAAAAAAGGTACCAGGTTTGATTGTTAGATTCTGTGGTCACTTTTCTCTGTGGAGTCTATCTACATGCTTCAAAGGGCTGAAGTGCTTCCACAGACTGTAGAGGTGGACTAAGACAGTGTGACATCAGCATTCATTCAGCTCCAGTCAAATGAAGCCAATCGAGGCTACAAGTTATGGTGGCTAATTTACTTCCATGTTCCATAATTAAAATTACGACCACATGTATCATAGCAACCAAAGAGCCATTCAGCCAACCAGGCTGCTGGTTTGGTAGGGAGCCTCAAAGAAAGAAGGCACTTGATTGACCTATTATTATGAATCATATCTTAATTTATGGACAAAATTGTCAAATACAAAACACCAGGATCATGTACAGCAGGGTAATACGAACATTTTAAGACCAAAATGACAAGCCTGACAGCAGTAGTTAGAGAGAGAGGCCATACTTTTTCAATATAAAGTCAACTGGAGTAGATGGAATTGCTGGAGCTCAAACACGCCCATGCTCACTTCCTTTCTGGAATGCAGTGGTTAGTGGGTTTAATAGGTCCATTTATATATCCAAGCCCAAGACAAAAACAACTGGAGATGGTCCCCTGGTGCTGTGCTGCAGTCACCCACCACTATGATTACTATATATTATTATCTAGACAGCAGGCTAGGACGGTTTGCAGCCGAGTGTGAAGCTGCTGGGATGAGGATCAGCTCTTCCAAATCCGAGGCCATGGTTCTCGACTGGAAAAAGGTGTCTTGCCCTCTCCGGGTTTGTGGAGAGTCCTTGCCTCAAGTGGAGGAGTTCAAGTATCTCAGGGTCTTGTTCACGAGTGAGGGGAGGATGGAGCGTGAGATTGACAGGTCGATTGGCAGCATCTGCAGTGATGCGGTCACTGTATCGGACTGTTGTGGTGAAGAGGGAGCTGAGCAGAAAGGCAAAGTCTCTCACCTGTGGTCATGAGCTCTGGGTAGTGACCAAAAGGACAAGATCGCGGATACAAGCGCTCGAAATGAGTTTCCTCCGCAGGGTGGCTGGGCGCTCCCTTAGAGATAGGGTGAGGAGCTCAGTCACACGGGAGGAGTTTGGAGTAGAGCCGCTGCTCCTCCACGTCAAGAGGAGCCAGTTGAGGTGGCTCGAGAGTCTCTCCTGGGCGGCTCAGAGGTGTTCTGGGCATGTCCCACCGGGAGGAGGCCCCGGGGAAGACCCAGGACAAACTGGAGGGACTATGTCTCTCGGCTGGCCTGGGAACACCTCAGGGTTCCCCCGGAGGTGCTAGAGGACGTGTCTGGGGTAAAGGGAGTCCCTGCTTAGACTGTTGCCCCCGCGATCTGGCCCCGGATAAACGGAAGAAAATGGATGGATGGATATTATTATTTAGTATTGGAAGGTACTGGTTTAAATGTTATATATCTTTGTTCTAGGACCTTATACAGTGTGTAAATGCTATTTGTGAAAAAAAAATGTCTGAAATGAATGCTATTGTCTACACATTAAACATATATACATATAGGATAGGAACCATAAGCAAACAACTGCTAGGAACAATTGTTATATCCAATAAGAGACATTTTTATGAGACTGACCCAGACAGCTGGTTGTTTGTCACAGTTCAACAGTGAGGCAGAAAGGGGCAGCGTTACACTCCAGATGGTTCATAGTTCAAAATAGAGGGTGTTCCTTAATTCCCAGGATCCTTTTTTCTAAGACCACTTTAGAGCACTCCTCTTAGTGTCCTGCTCACAATAAGCTTCTGCTCACAGTGTCTGAGGTGCATGTGAAACAGGCTCCGGAGGAACATGACCAGATCAAATGCATTAAAACTCTTTTTTGAACATCAGTGCTTCAACAAATGAAAAGTATCCAGATGTGTCTTTATGTGCCCACATTCATAACAGATAACAGATGATCCATTTAGCCTTCATTATTCACATGTTTTAAATAAAGAAATGCACATTGTAAAACATCCCCAGTCCCCTTCAAGAGGTTTTGCTCATTATGCTGCATTTGTCCTGATTTAAATTAATTTGGTAGTGTTATCTGAAGCAGTGTGGCTAAAACATAGGCAAAATATAAGCATAGCAAAATATTTACTTAATTTCTATGTGTAATGACTCATCTTATTAAAATGCATTTTACTGTTTAAATAAAGTTTGTAAAAAAAGTGGCAGTGCATTGTGCAATTTCAAGCTCTGCAAGGAGTGAAGCCTCGAGGATGTGAAGGGCTTTTGGGGAATTGGAATACCACTGGGCAGAGTTCTGATGATGTGAAGCTTTCAATATTCAGAAGTCAAGGATCGTGGCAATTAACACCCAAAGTAGCTGCTAAACTGGGCAGTACCTGTAGGACTTGTGGAGTACCTATGGTGGTGTTTATAGTTAGTGGACTGTGGAGTACCTATGGTGGTGTTTGTAGTTAGTGGACTGTGGAGTACCTATGGTGGTGTTTGTAGTTAGTGGACTGTGGAGTACCTATGGTGGTGTTTGTAGTTAGTGGACTGTGGAGTACCTATGGTGGTGTTTGTAGTTAGTGGACTGTGGAGTACCTATGGTGGTGGCCCGGCCTGCGCTCAGGTTCTGCTCCATGGAGGACAGAAGGATGTAATCCTCCCCTCCAAATCCACTCAGCACAGGTCTTCTCAGGGCGGGCTCTTCTCTGACAGTGGGATTAGGCTCCACCCCCTTGTCTTGGCTCCGCCTCCACAATGACCTCTGACCTCTCCTCCTGTTTTCTGCTCCAGACTGCTCCAGACTCTTTGTCACCTCACTCTGGGAAAGACAAACATAGAGGGTTGGAGAGGGGCTCGTACAGTTCTAGTAACAACCTTTCCAGTCTACATTTTCAAAAGATCCATCTTCTGCTCCTCTGACCCAATCCTCTGCATCCTCTGACCCAATCCTCTGCATCCTCTGACTCAATCCTCTGCATCCTCTGACCCAATCCTCTGCATCCTCTGACTCAATCCTCTGCATCCTCTGACTCAATCCTCTGCATCCTCTGACCCAATCCTCTGCATCCTCTGACCAATCCTCTGCATCCTCTGACCAATCCTCTGCATCCTCTGACCTCATCCTCTGCATCCTCTGACTCAATCCTCTGCATCCTCTGACCCAATCCTCTGCATCCTCTGACCCAATCCTCTGCATCCTCTGACCCAATCCTCTGCATCCTCTGACTCAATCCTCTGCATCCTCTGGCCTTTCTTTAGATCTGTTTCCTTGCAACTTTAAACATTAACATCTGACAAATAACTAATGTAACATTACTCATCTCACCCTGATTTGTAGAAGGAACTGACCTGTTGAAGTGGTGGGCGAGGCCATGGTGTGGGTGTGGTTTCAGCAGCAGGTCTCCAGATGACCAGCGAGATGTGGGCGGGGCAGCACCTGTAGAAGCGTGCATGATTGAAGGCCTACAGTTGCACTTTGATGTTCTTGTGAAGCTGGTTAAGAGTTGATTAACAGCATCACATTCAGCGTTCTTCAGAGATGTCTTGTGCACATTTAATGTGCATTGTTTTTTCCACTATTGTAATTGAGCTACTGCAGAGTATGCAGTATATACTGCAAGTATATCTAAAGTAATCTAAGCAGAACTGTGCTGTAAAAACAGCCATGACCAATGTGAACTTGGTAGTTTCTGAGTGGTACTGTTTAGGGTTACCTGATGGCATGTGCAAGCTGACCACATCCCCACGTTTCCACGGAGACCCCATTTAACTGGAGCACAGCATCACCATGACGTAGGCCTGCCGAGTGGGCGGGGCCTCCTACACACCAAAAAAACAGGTGTGAGACAGATGTATTCACTTTATTCCAGAAGTTGCTGTGGCAACAGCAAATATACAGAGGCGTTTTAAAGTTTAAAGTTTTGAAGCCTCACAGAGTCAGGGCATTGTTGACTTGCTGTTAAAGAACATTGAACATTTTACACAAATCAACCTACATTATATCACATGTTCATAGCAAAACAAATTCACCATTGAAATGAGTGGGATTCCCGCTTAACCAGAAGTGCCACCACAACAAAAGCGTGCTTTACTAAAACATAGCCAGAGTCCGCCCCATTCTCTCTCCATGTATGCTTTTATCACCAGTCGAATAGACTACTGTAATCTGGCCTTCCCAAAAAGACTATTTCAGGTTTGCAGTTATTACAAAATTCTGCAACACGTGTCCTGATGAGGACCAGAGGGCAGGACCACGTTACACCAGTTTTAAAATCACTGCACTGGCTCCTGTGAGTTTCAGGATTTTAAAGTCCTTTTACTCTTTTTTAAATGTCTTAATGGTCTTGGGCCCTCTTATCTTTCAGAACTGCTTTTACCCTACAAACCCTCGTGGACCCTGCGCTCCTCCAGCAGTAGCTCCTGGTCATTCCCAAAGTCAGGACACACACTCACGGAGAGACGTCTTTTCTGTTCTATGGCCCCCGTCTATGGAACTGCAGCCGGAGGAGCTCAGGGCCAAAGAGAACGTTCATGTTTTTAAGAGCAGGCTCAAGACCAACCTTTTTAGCTCAGCTTTTGAATGAAATCTTATACTTTTACTTGTTTTTATTGTACACATTTTATTATATTTATTTATTTTAGGCATATTTTTAGGATTTCCAATGTTTCCTCTGTAGGAGCCTCTGCATCAGGAGCAGAGATCGGCTGTAGCTGTTGGATCTGTCCCGTGTGCGGTCTTATGTATTTTAGCATGTTAGTGTGTGTGTGCATGTTAGTGTGTGTGTGAGTGTGTGTGTCTGGGTTGTTTGGTTGTGTGGGGTTGGGGGTGGGTTGGGTAAGTGGGTGTGTGGATGGAAATGTGGGACTGTTTTTAATCACCGTAAAGCACTTTGTGTTACATTTTGTATGAAACGCGCTTTATAAATAAAGTTTGATTTGATTTGATAACTTGAGCAACAGAGTTTCAAACAGAGCAGTGTAAACAATAGGGCTGGGCCAAAAAATATATATAAAAATGGATGAACTGAATTTGAATTTCAAATCAATTTGTTTTGAAAAAAAAATCTATATTTATTTGCCCCACTTTCTTGCACTGGAAACTGCAAACTGAAAATGAGCAGAATTTAGTACAGGGTCATGCAGCGCTGATGCTTTGAAATCCATGACATCAAAATAAATAGCTGCTTTTATCTCATCCATAAAACATTTCTCCAGTGGGTTAAATATGATCACTGAATACAGTCTTGGCACTTTTGACTATTTTTGCAGAAATTTTTTTGTGGAGAGTGGAAAAAAAATTGAAAATCAAATAAAAAATCTAATACTTTGAGGAAAAAATAGACAAATGGCCAACTCTAGTCTACAGCTCCAACTTATTACTAAAGCAAGCTCTGACAAAGGCTGAAAACTGGACCAACCTGAGTCCACGTCCTGCACGCGCACTGGGCAGTCCGAGAAGATGGTGAAGCCAAACCCATCTGGGCCACGGGCGATGACCATCTGAAACACACATGGAGAGGAGACTGAAGAGAGCAGAGTTATATTTGAATTTATTTGTCTGGAGGAAAAGCCCCTTGAGATGTCTCGCCAACTCGTTTTCATGGAGGTTCTCAGTCCTCACAACAAGAGACAGATACAGTAGGGTAGACATAGACTACATAAACTCAAAGAAACAGAAAAAACAAAACAACAAAATCAGCACAACCACACACACACACACACACTCACACTTGATTGTTAGATACATAATAAATCAAATTTGAACAAAAATTATGACAGAGTTCAAATACAGCCACAAAATACAAGATGAACAAAATTCAACAAAATGATAAAAAAAATGACATAGGATATGTAAATATCGAACCAGAGCATTTTTAAATGAAGGGACAGAAGTTAATTGATGAGGGAAGATTGTTCCAATCAGAGGGAGCTTTATTTTTAATGTTGTTTTTTGACTCTTGGGACAACAACAAATATCTGCTCTGCGTGACATAAACTGTACGAGGATTTGAATGGAATTAAATACTGTTTGAGGTATTCAGGAAAACTGAGGGACCCGGTCAAGCAGAAGTAAACAGCAAAGCCAAAAATTCAAGTTAATGCGTCTGATATAAAAATGTATTGAACAGATACATATGTACTCTAGTTTATGAAACTGTTGACCTTTTTTCTGTACCATTTTTGGTTCTAAAGTTCCAGACGTTTTAAACAGACCATGTATGAAACATGGAACAAAAATTATTTCTCAAATTTCAAAGACCTGCAAATCATGTAAATAAATGGATGTATTTTATCATATCTTGTGTTATTCCATCTTTGAACTGTTGATGAAGGTACATGATTTTTGTATTTAAAATGATAAAAATTGGCTTGGAAGGACTGACATATTTTATAGAAATAGTTTCCTTTCATTTTGAAGTAATATTAAAGTATTCGGAAGAAAAAAGCGACAAATGATGTAAAATCCTGCACCTTCTACTTGCTGCACAATTTTCCCTCCGTTACCATGACCTTTCTTAATAAAAAAAATCTCATGAGTCAAAAAGTAAGAGGTTTTTCAACCTAATCTTGTACCATATGGTAGAAAACTATATGAAGTAAATATTCAAACCAGTTTGTTAAGGATATGGAAGTGAGAACCAAGAGTTATCACTGTTTGGATTTATTGCCCAAAAAGTGCTGCATATTTCATTCCCTCCGTTACCGACATGAGTTTTTAAATTTTTGTCAACAACTTAAAAGAATATCACAGGTTTAACTTGACCCTGTTGGAGTGTAACTCTTTCCTACATTCTGATACTTATTTCAATAGTCCCTCTAGTTTCTGAATAAGAGCTATTTGAATATAAAAAATCTGCCCCTGTTTCCCTCCGTTACTGCTTGACTGGACCCTGAGATGAATGCATTTAAAGATAAATAATAACCAGTGAAGTTGACGTCGGGAGCAGGACAGACGGTGGTAAATTGTACAGTGGTGAGTTCTGAAGGGACAGCGGAGAATGAATCTGCACAGACTGTTCTAGATAACACTGAGTGGTTGGTGGACAGAAGTTGTAGTATTTTGATAAATCATATCACAGTAATCTAAAATGGGAAGAATTAATTGTGAGATATTTGATATGATGATAAAAAGGCTGTTGATATTGTCAGATGGTGGTGAGCTTGAACTTTTCTGCACACAGCCCTTAGCTACAGACACTTCTCCACTCCTCCTATTGGTGCATTAGCAATTATTTAACAAAGTAAATACATTCATGTTTCTGCTCCTAAAAGAATGTTGACTGGTCAGATTTTGGTGGAGCTTTTCAATAAGAGAGAGTTTTGTTTATGTGTTTTTTGGCCATATAGACGTCAGACTGGACTACAAGAATCCTTGACACAGCTGTACATGATGACTCAGTACTCCACCGTACTCCACGGCACTGCAAGTAGTGGTGAAAGGGTCTGTGTGGTGGATCTTTGTCCTCTGTCACCTAAAGCGTGTGAATGTTGTGACCTGTGTCTAAGGCCCTGAGCTGCATAGAGAGGACGAGGGGTGGAGGGGCAGAGAGAGAGGAGCAGAGATGTACAGGGGCAGAGGAGAAGAGGGTGGAGGAATGGAGGAGTGGAGAATCAGAGGGCAGAGGACGGCCCTTCTCTGGATCTGCTCAGGCTCTGGTCCGGTGTTCAGTCCAGTGCCTCGGGGCTCGGTCCACAGGGTCATTTGCTCTGGCTCTGGGTCAGCTCTGGCTCCTACTCTGGTTCTGGTTCGACTCTGTGCCTGGCTGTAGCTCTCCTCTGCACAGCTGACAGGCGCCTGCTTATTGCCCCGGGCCTGTGTGACTGTCTCTAAAGGTTACACAGATACTTGTGTAGTTTCTGTGGAGACAGTGTGGACTCCTGCTGTGCTTAAGGCCAGGACAATAGTCTGACCCAGAGTCCTGCGCCGAGGGGCATCTGAGCCAAAGGCAACACAAGCATTTGAGTCTATGTAAATGTTATTTTCTCTTTGCTGAGGTTTTTATACTCACCCTTTTGTATTGTATTTTAAAGTTGTGTTGTCTGATGTATTTATTAGACTGATCTACTCCTATTCATGCACTGTTTCTTAAAGGGCCTGTATCACGTCATTTTCTGATTTATGTTATGTTGTTTCCTCTTCACAAACACACCTGAAGTGGTGTTTTCTTTCATTCCCACATGTTTAACACATAAACTCTGCAGATTTAGGCTGAATTCTTCCCTCAAACTGAAAGCACATTAAGCTTGTGATTTCAGGAAGTACTCTGTGATAGAAATTTAGATTGTGGAAAGATTTCTCTCATTCTGTCTTTTGTGTAAATTAATGTGATTTCTACCTGAGACCAGACCCCCACAGGAAAATACTGATTATGATTGATTACATTAAAATGATTAGTTTATCTTTTAGAAACCCATTTGGTCTTGTAACTAAAACTCATTTGGCTTTTTAGGAAGACCCTTCAGTGTAAATACTTCTGTTCCTTTTGCTTACTGATCTTATGAGGAAGTGACAAATGCAGGTGACTGTGGAAGCAAATCAGATCAAGCACATGTGACCACACCTCAGTAGGAGCAGTCACCTTCTCACTTTGGATATAATGTATATCTTCTGGTCATCTCAGGCTATATAAACTTGGTGCTTTGTAACAAAGGGGAAGATAGATGGGCAGAGATACTGGGAGAGACAGTGGGAGATGTAGTAGGGACATTCTGCTGGTGGGGAGAGGCTGTTGGGCTTTGGCCAGAACAGGCCGAGGCCCTGTCCATATCTGCTGTAACAAGAATAAACCTTGGTCTATATTCCAAAAACTCATCGGGCTTTGCAAATTGATTAACTATTTATCTTCAAGAGATATATAATTTTTTCCACGACAACTTCATTCCATTTTTAAATTCTATACTTTTAAATTCTTTACTATTCCTTCACTAGAATCATTTGGATGATTTCAGATCTTGAATTGCCAAGCTCTACTGAACTTAAGCTAAAAGATATTAGTTTTAGTTAGATATTAGATATAGTCTGTCTGCATCTCCAAAGTCCTTTCTACACAAGTGAGTGCCTTGGTTTCTTTCAGCCCCACTACCATTCACTTTTTAAACTAACATGATAAAGATAAATCTCTGTTTGTCCATGATATGTAGCCTCATTCTTGAATAGCACCTGTGTCCTACATTCTTCCCCATTACAGCCCTCACCTCCATCTCCTCTGTATCAGGGCAGCATCAGAACAAGTATAAGAGCACATAGATTGGTATATGCCCCAGGTCCACTATGGAACCTACCTGGATGACTGAGAAATTACACAGATATGAGGTCACATGGTAATATCATTTAATGTTGAATATAACATTGTATTGTCTAATAAAATCAAGTCTATTTCTTAATGTTAAAATTAATTCAAGCACAAATAGATCATTTTAAAATGTCTTCCTTCAGTGATAAGCCCAATGCCAGTCTGGTCTCCCAACCTGCTCCTCCTGTGGCGCTCTGGGTTGTCTCAGGGTGGGACAGTGAAGTGTGTGTGATAGGTTTAAGTGTGTGTGATGGGTTTATTCAAGTGAGACAAAAGCCCATGAATAATGGACACAAACATGACATTCTAAGCTCCTGAACAGTGGATGGACAGCCCAGAGGAGCAGACAAGAGCAGAGACAGAGGAGCAGACAAGAGCAGAGCCAGAGGAGCAGACAAGAGCAGAGCAGAGCAGAGAGGAGCAGACAGACAGAACCAGAGGAGCAGACAAGAGCAGAGCCAGAGGAGCAGACAAGAGCAGAGCCAGAGGAGCAGACAAGAGCAGAGCCAGAGGAGCAGACAAGAGCAGAACCAGAGGAGCAGACAAGAGCAGAACCAGAGGAGCAGACAAGAGCAGAGCCAGAGGAGCAGACAAGAGCAGAACCAGAGGAGCAGACAAGAGCAGAGCCAGAGGAGCAGACAAGAGCAGAACCAGAGGAGCAGACAAGAGCAGAGCCAGAGGAGCAGACAAGAGCAGAGCCAGAGGAGCAGACAAGAGCAGAGCCAGAGGAGCAGAAAGCAGCAGAACCAGAGGAGCAGAAAGCAGCAGAACCAGAGGAGATTAGCCTGTTGTTTTCATACCTGACTTTCACTTTTTTTTTATTATTTATTACCCAGTGTCCTTATATGTGTGTAATTCCTCAGTGGTGCAGTAGGTTCATGTTGGTCCAGGTGTGTGTACTCGTCTATGTGCTCTGACATTTGTTCTGATCCAGCTCAACATCATTCGAAAGACATTCAGGAAAAGTACATTTCTGTCCTGTGAATGGGACTTTTTCATCCATAGCTGCTCAAATGAGTATCTAGTTTCAGTACTCATTTCAATATTAATTAGAAATGGATTTTCAGTATTTTTGACAACCCTACCCTGCTCACAGTAAGACAGCATGTTGTCCAATGAATTTATAAGATATATAAATTAGATAATAAATACTTTATAAAATGATTTAGTGCCATACTGTGAGAAATTCCATAAACAAAGCATAAATGACATTTCCCTGGAGACAGCCCAGTAGCAGACCACTACCAGAAAAGTTAGTTTAAACTATATCAGTCAGATATAGATTCCATTTGAACATTTTCATATTAACATTTTTCTGTTGCAAAATCATTTGTGTGTGTGTGTGTGTGTGTGTGTGCGTGAGTGTGTGTGTGTGTGTGTGTGTATCTGTTTTGAGTGCATCACAGGCTCCTGGGAGACGCGGCTCATCAAACATTGACCAGTGTCACTATATTTACCGCTGTCCCTGCTCCTGCACTCGCACCATGAATAACACATGCACCAAATGGATGTTTCTGCGTGTGTTTGAGAGCAACAAGCCCATGGGAAAACCAGCTCCATTCAACTGTGAGGAATAAACCCAGCAAACACATCTAAAGAGCCTACAGAGCCTAATAAGCCTACAGACCGAGAAGACCCTATGGAACCTTCAAAGCCTGAAGAACCTATTATGCTTAAAGAACCTGAAGAGCCTATATAGTCTACAGAACCTGAGACTATAGCCTACAGAGCCTCCATAACATATGAAGCTTACAAAATCAGAAGAACCTATGGACCCTTCAGAGCCTGAAGAACCTATGGAACCTTCAGAGCCTAAGGAACCTACGGAACCTTAAGTATTTTTAAGGCCTGAAGAACCTGATGAGCCTACACAATATATGAAGCTTAGAGAATCAGAAGAACCTGAGAAGCCTAGCAAAACAGAACATATGAGGCCTACAAAACATGTAGAATTTATGAGATCCACAGAGCCTAAGAACATGAACAGCTGATAGAATCTGATGAATCTATGAGGCCTACAGAACCGAAATAACCTATAACCTACAGAGCCTAAACAATATTTATATAAGGCCTCTATTCATATATGTCAGAACCTATGGAGCCTACAGAAGAACCTACAAGGCCTATAGAGCCCAAAGATCCTATGAAGTCTACTAACCTACATAACACGTGAAGCCTTCAGAACCTGAAAAATCTACAGAAAAAATGTAAAGAGCCTAGAGAGCCTGCAGACATGCAGAGTGTGAAACCTATGTATGGTTGTGCTGTTCTGCTGATGAAGTCAAACCTGAGGCAGGCTCTGTTTGATGCAGGTGCGACACAGGCGATGCAGGGTGTACATCTCAGTGAGAAACACATCCAGGGTCCAGCAAAAGTCCAACAGCTCCTTCAGTCCTGAAAGTATGAGACAGGTCCCAGCTCCTCAGTGCTGCTCCGAACCTCTCCAAACCACAACATCTCAGCAGAAGTCCAAATCCAGAGAGTCCCAAAGTGTGTGAGAGAGCAGAGAGCTGGGCCAAAGAACAGTGTGGGAACAGGAAGTGATGCGGACACAAACACAGGCTGTTTCCTGTCGATAGAGCCTTCCTCTGAGCGGTGTGTCCGGCTGCACTCAGCTCCTCTCACTCACATGGACCTACTCCACACTATGTTTATGTTATACAAACAGTCGGACAGCAGGGGGAGACCGGCACACCAGGTCAGCGGGACACAAGTCTGCCTGAGAATCCTAATCAGTCAGTAAGAAGTTTGGGACATTTCCTTAGTAACACTTGCATATAATGGCCAGGATTAAACGAGCAAAACAACAGGGTTATGGTGAGATTTCTCTGGCTTGAGGCTCAGTGTGGTACTGCTCAGCAGGACCTGATCACCATAGCGACTATAGTAACCGCCAGCAGGCCCTGCATGTCTCCAGCAGACTCCTGTCAGAGTAGATGTACTGTGTGTGGACGGGCTCAGAGACTTGTGACTGTGCTACAGAGGGACACACTCTGTCATCGCACACAGACCTGCTCTATAACAGAACACATGAGGACTCCTCAGGGACATGAGTAAAGAACCAGCAGAGTACTACAGACCGGCCCCTACACCACGCTGCTTAAGGCTACTGACAACACTGTATTAGGGCATTAATAAAGGATAACAAACTTTATGTCATGTATAAAATGTGGCAATGCCTAGTAAACAGGCTTTTCATTACATTTTTTATTTACTGAATGTTAAGGACAAAAAATGTATTAGATTCAGAAAGGTACAATATGTGACTTTCTGGAGGTGGCACATCACCTGCACGGTTCCATGGAAATAAAAAGTTAACATCATACTTCAGAACATTCTCCATGGAGACAGATTTTTAGGTTAGGCTTTATGACATACTATGGAATATTAGAGCCAACAGAGCAACAATTCCATGGAGACAAATAGGAGCCCAGCTCCCTTCAGCACAGGGGCCATACTGCCCTACAGAGGTAAAGAGCTTAACTCTCCAGAGTGTGAAACTGAAAAAAATGACAAGTAGTTGCTATAATGAAGAAATATTTGTATGTGAAAAATATTGAGCTCAAAATTGACCTTTGACCCTTATCTGTCAGTTCCTGTTCTCTGTCTTTGTGTTGTGTCAAAAATAAGGAGTCGTTCAAAGGCAAAAGGCAGAAACTGACATGATCATTATTTGCTTGATTTTGCCCAGATCCATTATAAGAAAAACACGTCACCAAGCTCCAGTCATCATGATGTTTGTCTGAAATGATCTAGAAGAGCTTTGGATTTCCTGTTTAGTGCAGCAACACTTACACAGTTAAACAGTTTGACAAAGTGACTTTGCAGTATAGTGTGTACAGTTTGAATAAATACACCAGATACTTTCACATTAAAGATCATTGAAGTATAACTGAATACAAAGGTTTATTTATGTAATGTGTTAAGACCGTGTGCCAAGGCCGCAACAATAAGGAGGTCAGAGGTTGGATTTTAAAATAAAATACATTTATGAACTAAATCACAAACAAAACATACACTGTTACTGCCTTTTGCCTTTGCCTTATTTTTGATTCATGATACACAGGCAGAGTACAGGAACTGACTAATAATTTTGAGCTCAATATTTTTCACAATATTTAATCACATGATAAAGGAGGTCTCAAATACAAACAAAATGACATGAACTCATTTTTGATCAAACATGATTATGGTATTCTGCCTTTGCAGGGCAGAATGGTTATGGAGTAGAGGGGGAGGGTCCACAGCCCACAGTAGACCAGGACCAGGACCTGAACTCCACAGGATGTCACTCTGCAGCCTCTGGTGGACACCAACAGTTTTATCACCCTGCACAGCTCTGAGATGTGGAGCTGAAATATTCAGTTGTATGTGAAAGTTTAATGAGGCTGAGTGAGGGAGGGGCTGTGGGCACACTGAGTTAGACGACAGCTCCATATGTGTGGAGACTGTCAGAGCTATGATGATTCTCCACTGTTTAAAAGCTACAGTGTGAGAAAGCATGAGAGAACAGCCTCAGAGCTGAAGTAGTGAAGAAAAGTGGTCCACTCACCTTGAGCTGGCTGCTGTCTGTTCTGCCAGGGTTGGAGCTGGAGCTGACATTAGCATTGACCCTTGTGGAGGTGTTGCAGGTGTTAGCTTGCTCCTTGGGTGCACTGCGTCCATCATTTGACACCAGACTGGGCTCCACTTGGCTTCCAGGCTCTGAAGACACTGTCGGATTGATGCAGAAGGGGACAGCGTGCTCAGCTGTGAGTAAAAAACCATCATCGTCAGTGTCTTTGAGAGTGCCATCGAACGGCCACAAGACATTTCTCCAGAACATGCTCAGTGTTCAACCTGACAGATGCTTTTAGTGAAGAGAACATCAAACCAGCATCCACAAAGTCTACAGTGGACTGTGTCCAACTTCTTTGCCCATGGCCAAACCTAGAAAAAGAGTCCACAAACTCCAAATGGTTTTCAAGAATGGGGGAGATGTTAGGATGCCTGAGAACACGGGAGATCGCTGGAGCAGAGATAGCTGGTCTTCTGTAGATGAGCTGGAGTCTAAGTCTGAGCTTGAGTCTTCCTGAGGGGCTTTTTCTGTATGTGACATCATGACAAAGGGAGGAGGGAGGGCTCCTGGTTTCCACAGCAACCCAGAGTCTCAAGCAGAGATGCAGCGAGCACAGAGCCCATAGCAATACACTGGAGAGGAGTATTCTAATTGAAAGCACTGCATGTCCCTCTCTATTTGAAGGAGGGTCACTAAATACATATGCATAAGTACATAAAGAATAATACTTTACAAGTGTGCTGTACAATAAACACATTTAAATCAAAATGAAGTCGTTTGGTTGCTTGGGTTTTTGAATGGAAGTAAATGCATGTGTTCTGGACCCTCAGACTTTTAGTGTTAAATGGTAACGCTTAAACCTCAAAAGTCCTTATTCTTTATGCTCAGGATCGAAAGCCATAGATAAAAAAAATAATTTAAAAAATTAGCAATGTAACAGTGCTACAAAGAAAAAAAAAAAAATATTGCTTTTAATTTGGACGGCTTTAGCTCACTTGGTAGAGTGTTTGTCCACTGATCTTGGTGGTTCGAATCCCGCTCTCGACATAAACGTCATGGGTTGTGTGGTCAGATCCGTTGACCCACAGGTTGGCTGGTGTGATTCCAGCTCCCAGTTGTCATTGTGTCCTTGGGCAAGACACTTAACCCACTTTGCCCCCACTGTCTGCGTACACTGGGGTATGAGTGTATGTATGAACGGTTTACAGCTTTGAGTGTCTTGAAGGTGGAAAAGCGCTACAGAAAAATATGACTATTTACCATTAATTTCCACTAATTTTACCTATATGTGTCCCCAGATATGAGGTAAAACATTTAAAATCAAATATAGCTTTTAATGATAACATTTATAATGGAGATTTATTCTGTTATAATTTGATTATTACTCTCTGACGAGTACTATTTCTTTAAAAGTGCATTTGTCTGCTTGCATGCTCTTAACAGCTGGGCCTGTGCTTTAGTGGCCTCGTGGTTAGGTGCAGTACTGCAGTGTTGTGACCTTCACACTGTACAACACAGACAATTCACATTAATAGAGTTCAAACTCACCTGTTTTGTGTCTCCACCCTGATGCACTGCGGAGGTGTTTCCTCAGACCAAACTTTGGTCTTAAAAAATAAAACCAACCACTGACAGGCTGCAGTGGAAGAAGAGTCAGATAATATGAAAGGTGAAACTTAGAGTGGTATTATGATTTTACCTTTGAAAGCAAAGAGGTTACTCCAAAACTCATACAGCCAATCACAGAGCTGCTCCCACTTCTGCAAGACATGCATTGCCTTAACTTACAAAGGCTCATCAGTTCTTTATGTATGCAGTAAAGCAGAGAGTATAGGACATGGGTGTAGTCGTGTATGGAGGACTGGACTCTGGAGTGTAGGTCTCACCTGTGCAGAGACAGCACGAGCCGAGAGCGGACACGAGGGGCCCCAACCACAGCCCTGTACGGAGCAACACAACACAGTCACTCATCCCAAAAGGTAATCATAGATGGCAACAACAGCACAACAGGGTGCAGTCATATAGCCTCACTCATACTATTTAGAGCATTAGGACTGGAGAACAGACCAAAAAGAATCCTATGCATTTCAGAACACGTTTGTAGAGGTCTGAACTAGAGATGCACCTATACGATATTGGTATCTGATATCGGCACAGATACTAAAAATTTAGACTATTGATGTAATAAGACTATTTATTAGCTGGCCCAGAAAGTCTCAGAATGTTTGAATTTCTATTCATACAAAGCTGTTCTGTGTTACCTGAGAGATAAACAAAGAAGAAGAATCAGTATCGAAACTGAAAAAGCTGGATCAGTGCATCTCTACTATAAACTACAGAGTTAGCAGTTTTTACACAAAATAAAACCCCATTCACACACAGGAAGGGCATCTGACACACAGGAAGGGCATCTGACACACAGGAAGGGCATCTGACACACAGGAAGGGCATCTGACACACATGAAGGGCATCTGACACTCACAGGGTCAGTCTCTGATTGCAGGAGGCTCTATTGCTCCTCATACTCTGAGTCTTGCTGGAGGTGCTGGGGTCACAGGTCAGCCACACCTGCAGACACATATATATACACACACACACACACACGCGCACACGCACACACACACACACACACACACACATTACACACGACTACGGGTGGGACTTCTATTCCTAGATATATAGTGCCACTAGTCGTACTGGAGTACCAAGTACAACAAGTAAAAGTGCTTAAAAATTTTTATATATATATATATATATATATATATATATATATATATATATATATATATATATATATATATATATATGCAGTAGAAATTACAGATGCCTAAAAAATGATACTAAAATAGGTTTACTTTTGGAAAAGTAAAAGTTCCTAATGAGTGCAAAGGGAAATGTGAGATTCTGATGATGAGTAGAACCTGACTGGAAGACTCTGTTCAAAAGGAATCTTTGTGAGAATGAAAATGAAAAGCACAATACATTTCTGTGAGAAGCATGTTGAACAGAAACATCTTAGCTGTGTGAACAGATGATTCTTACCTGGACATAGCAACTCTGCATGTGTGCCCTCTGCCTGAGGGGGCGCTGTGCTCCTGCCAGCCTGTGTGCCTCCTGGACTGCATGAACACACACAGACACACACACACACAGACACAGACACAGACACATAGACACACACAGACACACTATTTGGGTTAGTGTTGATGTACAATATATTATAATCTAATTAAGCATTTAAATGTTAGAATTGAAATGTAAACATTTAAAGTTGTATAATAATGAATCCTTTTTTAAATGCTGTGGTTTTCAGTCCTTGTCATACTCTCAGATATCAGAAGACACATGACTATGAGCTGCAGTACAGGCTGGGGACAGTCGGGCTGTCGTCCACTAAAGACATGCCTAGCGATGAACCGATACAATATTGGTATCAGATACTGGCGGTGATATTGAACATTTTGGTGGATATTGGTTTAGCTGATATCTCATTTTGGTCCAAAAATCTGTGCAATTTACTAGCCAATGTGTGCTCAAACATAATATTAAACATGTAACTTTTATAAAGTTGTTCTGTAATTACTTTAAATGACACATTTGCGTGTGCACTCTCTGCCCTAGTATTGGTTGATATCGAGTATTGGTAGATACTTAAAGCCAAAGTATCAGAACAGAATAAGCTGAGTCAGTGCATCCCTCCACACGTCCTGCTGATCGATTAGTTGACTAAACGGGCTGTTGCAACTGAGCCAAACTGTACCCAGGACCAACATATAAATAAATCTTTAGCTAATTCACTTTCTAGTGTCCTCTTATGGATGTTATATGTTTCACGGAAATCTTTATAATCTAAATAAAATGATAGTCTTACTGTGGATGTGGATGTGGGCCTGCTCTCGGAGGATGGACACTTGCAGCACACCTGAAACAGCACAGTTTTTAGGTCTTATTTCAGAACTTAAAGTGTCCACTAAAGGAAAAGAGCAGTCATCATCTGGATGTTTAAATGTCCTATATTACACATAGAGCCGTGTTCTAATGTTGTTCCCTCCTCAAAAACAGAGCTGGAGTTGTGTTTTGTTTCATTCACACATGTTTGAGTAACTCTTTATTATTAGTCTGTCTCCATCTCCAAATTTCAAAATGCTCTGTTCCACCTTGTGATGTCATGAAGCTGTAGTTTGAGTTAACAGATACCTCTTACCTTTTTATTCAGTAGAGATCGGCAATTCCAGGGCTGAAGTCATCCAAATGATTCTAGTGAAGGTGTGTGGAGTTTAAAAACACAGTGGGGCACCTGCATTACCACACGACATCACAAGGTGGTGCAGTTGTAGTTGTAAGGGATGGTGTGATATGGATTTTTTGGAACCAATACTGATACTAATATTTACCTTTTACTTTAATTTAAGATACATTTTTAGGCCTTACTACGAACTTTAAAGATCACAAATAAAATTTTCACTTTTGTAAAAATAATAAAACATATTTATCTTATCCGCTATAAAATCATTAGTTACATATTTCTATTCTGACTCTTTACTCAGAAAAGGGCACTCAAAAATATTAGAACTGAATATTAAATATTGAATACTGAATATCAGCCAATACTGATATAGATGAACTGTATCGTATCAGGCGATACCAATATTGGAACTGATATATCGCCCATCTCTAGTTCCAAGTAGTGGACATAAACATGGGCACAGTGTTCTGCCTCACCTGTGATGGCTGAGCGAGGGACTGTGTGCCTCCGTCTCCCAGAAGGCCGAGCGCAGGGCTGGGCCTGCAAGATCACCATGGTTACAAGATACTCCCAGCTACGTCTGTCACAGTAAATGTTATTTGGACTTATCGTACAATACAGATGAAACTATTATTTTTAGGTGTCAATATTTATCGTTTATTGTATTTTTTGTTGTTTTTTTGTACTTTCCTGAAGATTTGAGCTGTAGAAGCATATATAACTTATATGGCTCATTAAATGTTTCATTTATTCATTGCAGCTCATGTTCATTAAAAATACTGTACAGATAACAATTATTTTGGGGGGAACTCTTCAGTGGTGCGATGCCATTCAGTATTATTGTTTATTGTCTGTTTTCTTCAGCAATGTAGCGCACATCAAAATGGTAACACTCCTTTGAGGATAGTGAGGTACAGATCTCAGTCAGAGAAAATAAATGGTTTGAGAGGGGAGTTAAAGAGGCTATTTTTGTGAAGAAAGACAATTCTTCCTTGAAGAGAAATGGAGGACTCAAACATCATTATTATTATTATCATTATTTCTTATTTACAACCCCATCCTCATGCCTACATCAAAACAAAGAAAACAATAGAACAATAGTGACAGCCTGTTCAGGTTCAGAGACCTGAATGATTCTGCTAAAATGTGCCAGTCCACACTTAGTGCAGTTCAACAGATCGAGCTAACACACAGAAACTGTAAACAAGTAAGATTACTAGTTTCAGAGTAATTACAGTGTAGTTAGCTCCTTCCTTCAGCAGATATAAGGCAGTGTCCACCAGCGTCTGACCAGAGCTGAAGAAGCAGCTTGGATGAGCTGTGAAACGTATTCGATCAAAAAACTTTTGTCCAGTTGACAAAATTGAATTTCAGAATTTCTTTGCCCTGGGTTCTACCTGGACAACTGAGGAATTTCATAAACTACAGGGTTTGTCCACAGGGGGCCACTGCACTCACCTCAGCCCGGGTACTTGAAGGCTCCAGTGTTAGGTCCTGCTTCTGTCTGCGAGGGGCGCTGTTCCTCTCCTCAGCCTGGGCACTAGAGCGTTCTGATGAGAGACTGTACTTGAGACTGTACTTCTCTCTGCAGGGAGCAGACAGAGAATTGAGAGTGTTGAGTGTTTGGGCCAAAACTGAGTTCCATTTTTGAAATGTATTATTTTATTTAATGTATCTGGATTTTTATAGCGTGCATACCTGTACTACCATCTGGAATCACAAGTTCAGAACTGAACATGGCCAGGTCTCACAAACCAAACCTCACGTAAAAGCTAAGAACCTCCAGAATTTCCTCTCTGAGCTGCAGAGGCTGCACTAGCACTAATTTATGACTGGTGCAGGTGCTGGGATTTAAGGAGTGACCATTCAGATGAGAGAGACACATTTTAGGTTTAAACACACTGATTTCACCACTGAAACTATAAACCCACATGAGAGAGTCATGTGAGGTTGTCTTGAACCAAAATACCAAATTATAACATAAATAATGTCTAATGTGTTTTGTAATTAAGTAAGAATAAAGTGTTCAGTAAAAGGGTAATTGACTTGAGGACCATTTTTGCTGTTATGAATTTAAATGACTTTCTAAATAATAAACTCAGAGTTAATCTGTCAATTATGTACCTGAAAGATTTTAAGGGTTAAGATTAAGAGATTAAGGATTTAAATTTAATAATTATTTAATAATTATTATTATATAATAATATAATAATTATAATAATTTTATTGTTTTGTTATTTTCTCATTTAGTGTGATGTTCTGCAGAGTGACAGCTGTATTTAAAAAAAAATATTAGTTATTTAGTAGATTTTTTTGACACATCAAATTCGTGGTGTGTGTACAGTGGGGTGACAGGAGGGGTCAGACCGCACAACACGTTAAAATGTCTAAAATTATAAGAGTTACACAAAAACATGATGTGATGTTTGTGAAAAGGCTTATTTACAACTGCTGTAAAACTGATATGTTTTTTAAAATATTTTCTGGATTTTGCTACAAAGTTTTGTCACAGTACAGGACAGAAAAAAGGTGTTAGGCCTCCAAATGTCAACTACCCAAAAGATGTGAACAAGTTTACCCCCATCATGTTTATGGCATTTCAAATATGACATACAGTTCCTTTCATTGTGTAAGAGTTGCTATCACAAGTCAATCTCTCCTCTGTGAAGTCAAGAAAGTTCTGTCTGCTCTTGAATCAAGTTCTTTTTACTTTCTGCTCTGAAAACAAGGACCAGACAGAGGTGACCAGACTAAAACCTGCGTTTACAAGACACCTACACTCACTCACCTGCACTGCTCCGGCTCCGGCTCTGCGTTCTCCTTACAGCTCCTCCTCTCACTCCTCCTCCTCATCTCGTGGGCCTCCATGTGCAGCTCAGAGTGGTCCCCCAGGTGCAGGTAATACTCCCCCACACAACAGGACCTATAAAAATGGTCTGGTTAGTATTGGCTTTGGTCTGTGTATATTGGGCATACCTTCAATTGAAAAGAATTCTGACACACAAAACAAATATCTTAAATATGAGTTAAAGGAATTGTATATAAGATTATGAGTTTAAAATTTCATAAACATAATCCATCTGTGTCCCCAGATATGAGGTAAATATGTTCAAATCAGGACAGAACAGGTTTTGAAAACATATTTTTTCCAAAGCATTTATGGGAGTTGTATATTTTTGTAGAGTGAGGTCTGAGCTGTGCAGAAATGCAAAGGAACAGGTTCTCAATATTTTTTTATTTTATTTTTTAATATTGCATATTTCCCCATACAACTCCTTTATTGTTAACTCCATCAAACACACAAAAACACATAACAATTGATTTATTACATTCCTATTAATGTAATCTATGGCATTCAATCCTATGTTGTAATAAGGGGTATACACAATTTTATCTGAAAACATTATCTGTAATTTTATACTTTTAAAATAAATAAACGTTATAAAATGTTGTGGCACACACCTCAGGCTGTAGGTGTCAATGCCCCTTACCTAACCACTTAAAATTAGATGCAATAGTCAAGTTTCAAAATGGACAAAACTCCCCCTAAATGAAAGAACACTGGTAACAACAGACCAAATATGTTTAGTCCAAATGAGAAGAGATGCTACAACTTTAACATACTATACTTCAGAACAATTATTTCACTTCCAACCTCCAAACTCACTATAGAAGACTTTAGAGATTGGTGATTTTATAAGACTCCTTGAAGCATTAGTGTCGCAACATGACTGGTCTGGAACAGGCTCAAAATAGAAGTGCCAACTGTCAATACAAGAGTCAAGAGTGTCAAGAGAGTTAGTCAGTTTGTCAACTCCACCAGCCTAAAATGTCAACTCTGTCACACATTCAGCTAGAGTTTTCAAACACCATCAAACCAAATGTTTCCAGCTGTGATGGCACAAATTTCAACATAATATGAAAAAGTGTAAAAGTGGCCTGGCTGTATGACCCTCAGGGATTTACATAATTATATTACAGACTCATTTAATTAGGTTTTTCAAAATGTCTGATGGAGTTGACAAAAAGATGGGACACTACTTTGACAAGCTGAATTTTGAAGAAAAATTAAATAAATAATACGTTTACCAAAGGTGTTTGGGTTTTTCTTATGTTTTTTGAGAATCTCTGAACCCTGGCAGAAGACACACAAAATTACATTAACTGCAAGGTTTCCTTTACATTTATGTCAAAATCTTGTGTCAGTGTCAAAAAATCAAATGTCAATGTCAAAAATATTTTTAAATAAAAAGCTCCAGTATACACAGTATACATAGTTCCCTTAGATTTAACTTTGTATGCATGTCAATTGTGATATTTAAAAAAATATTTGATACAAATTCCTGCGTTTTAGAAGATGTGTTTTTCCCCGACTCTCAAGAATCACTGACGTAACTCTTGCTCGTAACAATTCTAATGCCGATTTATATATTAATTACCAAAATAATTATAATTCATTAATAATATATTCCATTTATTTATGTTATAATATGGTGTTTTGGTCAGCAAGACAATTATCCAGTCAGAAAGCAGAATGCACTCACATGAGTCAATCATCGGGGTTGCCAGTTTCAATGCTGAGGTCCAGTTGGTTTAAACCTAAAATGTGTCTCTCTGATCTGAACGTTCACTCCCTAAACCCCAGCACCTGCTCCTGTCATGAGTCAGTGCTACTGCAGCCTCTGCAGCTCAGGGAGGGAATTCTGGAGGTTCTGAGCTTCACCTGAGGTTTGTCCATAAACTGAGAATGAGACAAACTTGGATGTGTCTCTGTTTGCAGGTTAAGGCTCCGGAGACACAGGTTCAGTGTTTTTTTTTTAAACAGTAGGAGCGCAGGCTTCATACAGCACTTTTAACACCAACACATTAGGTGGTGGCAATGTATCACCTGACTGTATAGTGTTTCTGTGCTCCTGGGCAAGACTTTTGACCCACATTGTACTTAAATCTCTATGCAGCAGGTTTACAAGAAGTAAGCAAAAAGACCCAGAAGCTAAAATGTATGTAATTATATTTATATTTAATTAATATTACTGCTTTTATTACTGTATAAGTGCAGAGGTGATACAGTAGCCAAAAATTGTACTCAAGTAGGAGTAATGTTGTTTCAAAATAATATTTCTCAAGTTACAAGGTAAGGCTCAAGTAAGTATTTGGGAACACTGCTAAGAGTATCTGTCAGGATTTGTCATTTTAATGTAATGTAACCTGAAGGACAAAACATTAAATAATGCACTGAATCTGGTATTTTCAAAGGACAGATACAAAAATAAGACAAACTAAATCATTATTATCATTATTATCTGAAGGAGCGCTGCAAGAAACACAAACACTCAAATCATTTCAGATTGTCCACACAAAGCTTTTGTCACTTGTAGACTTATTCACAGTGGGAAGAGAGGAGCCAACACTTACTAAGAGTACTTAGGTCAATACAGATATTACTCAAGCAGGAGTAAGAGTATGCTGCTAGAAAAGTATGCTGGAAAGTACAATTTCCTTAAAAAATTACTAACAGTTAAGTCAGTGTAACTGAGTAAATGTAAAGATGTACTACCTATGTCTGCATAAGTGGATGTGTTTACCTGTGAGTGAAGTCCATCGATCTGTGCACACTGGAGCCTCCTGTGCTCCCTCCTGGTTCTGTTTAAACTCAGCCTCAGCTGGCGCTTCCTGTGACCTTCACTATAAAGCACGCTGAGGGAAGTCTGAGGAGCACTCACAACATTAGAGCAAGTTTTATTGTGAAGGGTGAGGGGCTGCTGTGCTGAGAGGCCACACATCTGGAGCTCATCAGTGGCCTCCTCCAGATGCCCTCCCAACGGCTGCTTTGGGGGCAAGATGTGAGAATAACTCTGTGAGGCAAAGGAGGAGAGGAACCAAACTCATTCATGGCCTGCTTTATCCACACAGTGCAAGTAAAAGCTCAAAATGCAGCGCAACGAAACCAAGGTTCAGGGGTAAATGTGGTGTGTGCACGTGTGTGCGTGTGTGCGTGCGTGTGTGTGTGAGTGGTTAGACGGGCTGATGGTCAGTCCACCCCAGGACAGCTGTGGCTATGGATGTTTCTTGCCACCAACAAGTTTATAGGACATGAATACTGGAGCAGCCCTATAGCCTCTGAAAGATCTGCACAAATTATAAATGTAACTGAGAGGCTATGACTTGGTCCTGGACATAGTGCACACTAAGCACACTCACCATCACCATCCTGTCAGTCTGTATCTGGAAGTCCCACAGGATCTTGGGTCGGTCATTCTTCACAAACTTTGGAGGTGTTTCCCACCTTGATCCTGGGGTCTCCAGCCTGTACTCTGCACAGATGTTTCTGTACACTATGCCCGCAACTTGGTTATGTCGCTCCATGTTTGTTTCCCTGCAGCATCTTACACCTGCAGTTATGTGCTGGACTGTCTCAGGTCTTGTCTGGTGTGGTAGATCTGGGCCTCTATTGCTCTAGTGCCCAGGGCCTGTTCCTGAGCAGCCAGGATCAGTGTCTCTGTGCTGTCCTTCAGACCAGCACCTCTTCCTCTGGACCCCGCTGTCTTGAGACATTCTCTGAGCATGTCATCTGTCGGGGCCTTGTCCCTAATGTACATGTACCAATGGAGTGGTTCACACACTCGATAGATAGATAGATATAGATAGATATATCTATATCTAACACATTGTGGACATTTACTAATTTTCACTTTGTATATGTCCCTTTGCAAAAATGTCAACAGTATTAATTTGTTTATTTGCAAAAGTTACCACCACTTCATGATCAGGCTTAGAGGACTTGTGCTCAGCTCTGCTCCACTCTGTCGGTTTTGAAGCGCGTTAAACGAGAGGAGCTGCAGGAGAGAGGACCGTGCAGGCCTCAGGCGCCCGCTGCTCTTCAGGAGGAAGCAGCGTCAGGAGGGGGCGCTGAGCCGACCACTGCCCCCACAAAAGAAAGAAGAAGAAAGTGCCGCGTCACCCGGAAGTGAACGCGGAAATGAAAGGTAAACATGGAGGAGCCAAGAACCGCAGGCAGCTCCGACTCTCTGCTCAGCGAGGGTAAAACTACTTTAACATGTCATCTGATCTGTGTGTGTGTGTGTGTGTGTGCGCGTGAGTGAGTGAGTGAGTGTTAGGCTGAAGTCAAAAGTACTTCTAATGCCAATCCCTATTAAACAATGACAGAATTCCAAGACAGAAAAGCAGCATATGAACAGCAAGTTTGAGTTTACAATTTCACTTATGACTTACTGTATGTATAAGAGACAAAATATAAATTAAAACAAACTAAATTTAACACATAATTCACTCATCTCAGAGCTGTATAGCTTTCAAACAACGGTTTATTCTCTTTTTAAAGGCTTCTACAGTGTTAGACTTTTTAAATCATCACTCAGGTTGTTCCATATACTCACCCCTCGAACAGAAATACAATCACTTTTTTTTTTCTTCAAATAAAGATATGATGAGCCTTTATTGTCATGGATTTGAATGGCACTTGATGGCAATATGAGCCTTAAGCCACATTTGTCTTCACAGAGTGGTACGTGGACTTTGTGGCAGAGGAGTTTGATGTGAAGGCTTACACGGCTCAGGCCATCCACCAGGCGGTGATCAGCGAGCAGCTGGCCCGACTCGCCCAGGGCATCAGCCAGCTGGACAAGGAGCTGCACTGCCAGGTCTGTGCCCTTCACCATGCTCTCATGTTCTGCCTACAGTCTGGAGAGGAACTCAGTTGGACAATCTTATGTTTCTGGACTTCTTAAAGTATCCTCACACAGATGATCTTTTTCATTTGCGTTATTGTGTGTGCAGGTAGTGGCCCGACATGAGGACCTGCTCGCTCAGGCTACAGGGATCGAGTCTCTTGAAGGTAACACAGCATTGACATGTGACACACGGTAGTTACTATATCGACTTATTATTCAATATGTGAAGATGGAAAAATACTTTTTCAGGCTCGAAAAAAATGTACCTTTTCAGATTTTTTTGGTGTATTCATCTTTTTGGTAGCATTTGAGCTCTTCTTTGTCAAATAATGAATATTGTTAAGTGTTTAGTTGTGCTGTTTATGTATGGGTCGCATGTTTTTTTACAATATGGGTCACTTCGAAACAGGTTTACCTGGTTCAGGGTTATTGTGTCAGTGATATCAAGTAGTTTCAACATTATCGTTTATCATATTTTTCCATAGCAAGATCTCATACTTCAAAATGTGTTATCCTAACAGGACTATTGTTCTAGCACTTTATAGCAGATGTAGTGCTGGGGCCGTAGTGTCCAGCTAACTGTAGACAGATAGATAGATCTACTTTTTTATCCCAAAGGAAATTCATTTTTTCAGGTAGCAACAGTACTATTATGTAATCAGTTTATAGTGAAACAGCCTGTCCCCAAAGGTGCTCCTGTCCGGTGATGGTGCTGTGCAGGGGTTGCTGGATTATCCAGGATGGACAGGAGTTTGTTTAGGGCCCTGTTCTCAGCCACAGATGTGAGTGAGTCAAGATCTGCATCCACTACCTGCCTTCCTCACCATCTTATCCAACTGTACAGCGTCCTTCTTCTTGAGGCTTCCTCCCCAGCAGATCACAGTGCTGAAGGAGCTTTTGGCAGAGGTTAAAGGACTTCAGCCTTCTGAGAAAGTACAGCCTGCTCTGTCTCTTTCTGTACAGCAAGGCTGTATTCTCAGACCAGTCCAGTCTGTGATCGAGATGTAGGTCCAAATACTTAAAACTCTCTACAACCTCGACAGTGTCCCCCTCAATGGTCTCAGGTTGCAGCTGTGGCCTGCTCCTCCTAAAGTCCACCACCACCTTTTTGGTCTTTGCAGTGTAGTGTTGTGGCTGTAGTGTCCAGCTGACTGTAGTATTGTCTGTAGGGGTCCTTCACATGATGCAGACCAGGATCAGTGCTCTGCAGGCAGCTGTGGACAGGTCAGTAGCTCTCCTCTGTCCCTGTTATGCTACTGTTACATCATGTCTCACAGACTTTTCACTTTCAGAATAAGAAATAAGATTTTAGATCCATACAACAAGATTATGGCCCGGATTACACAGCTCTCCAGACTCCAGGTAAATCTGAACACACGTTCAAATGCTGCTTGTAGTCCTGATGTCCAGTCTGATCATCTTTGATAAATGCATAAGTTTGTAAAAAGTGAAAAAATGTTTGACCATGTGGCTCCAGATGGCCTGTGACCTACTGCGTAGAATCATCCGTATCCTGTACCTGAGTAAGAGGCTCCAGGGACAGCTCCAGGGGGGCAGCCGTGAGATCAGCAAGGCCGCACAGAGCCTCAACGAGCTGGGTATGTCTCCCAAATATAATAATGATCAGTTTATCAAGCACCACATAGTTCGTTTTAGCACTGCACCTTTTAGAGTCTTCACAAATCTAATCTCATATTTCTTAGTTATAAGAAAGGTATTTTTTTCCAAAATCATTCTGTCCAAGTACTTTTCTGTGACAGCCTTGCTGTTTGTGTTCTGGTGTGTGTGTGTTTTGTGTGTGTGTTTAGATTACCTGTCCCAGGGTGTGGACCTGAGTGGCATAGAGGTAATAGAGAGCGAGCTGCTCCTGATCAGCAGAGCTCGGCTGGAAGTGGAGAACCAGGCACACAGACTGCTGCAGCAGGGCATCGAAATCCAGGTACCCCACAGAAACTCCCACCCTTCAGTCTCCAGTGCAGCCCTCTGTGTCCAGCACGTGGGAACTCTACCTAAACCTGTAATGTCCCTGTGTCCTTGCAGAACCCCACACAGGTGGGCACAGCCCTGCAGGTGTTCCATAACCTGGGCAGTCTGCGGCAGACGGTGCTGGCTGTGGTGGAGGGGCACCAGAACAGTGTCAGGGAAAATATCCGATTTGCTCTGGAGATCAGGGGCCTGACTCAGTCTCACACCAGAGGTAAATACAGCCACACATTATTAATATATAAATATTTAGAGTTGCCACAACAGTTCCAATGTCTTTAACTTTACCAAACTCTGACAGGTAATTTGAATTAAAAGTAACATTAGCATAAGGAGTGGGAGAAAGCTATCTGGGTTATTTGCAGAGCTAAACACGCTATCTTTTGCTTCTTATAATTAGGTACTTTGTGGTGCATAATGTAATTTGTCATTTTCTAATACAATGGCAATGTTCCTCTATATCTGAATATGTTCTACAGGTGCTCCTGGTCGGGCCATGCTGCCCACGCCTGGCACCACGGCACAGTTCCGGGCTGCCTTATGGACCAACCTGGAGAAGCTGATGGACCAGATCTGCGCAGCCTGCAGACAGGTGCCATCAATTCACATGCTCTTTACACTGTGACTGCTCTGTGTGATAGGCCTGGGAATATACGCTATCTCCTGCATCTATGCTGCACTATCCCAGTCTAAAAAGCAGATCAGAGATTGAGACAGGGCTTGGACAATCAATGTAAAAGACAAAAAATAATAAATAGTTACATAGTTAATTACAGTACCAGATAAGTTCTTGCTGGATGGCAGGAATACTAACTCAGCAACTCACTAGTGCGACAGCTGCTGTATATTTCTAGAGACGTATTCATTTATAATATGTTTAACTGTCATCATTTTTTCAATCGATTTTGTGGAGGCAGGTACAGCATCTTCAAAAGGTTCTGATCAAAAAGAGGGACCCAGTGAGTCACGTCTGCTTCATTGATGAAATCATCAAGGTACGAACCCCTCATGAAACAGAGTTTTGGAGGCCCCCTGTTGATCCTGCGGTGGTCCAGTGGAGGTCCTGTTTAGGTTCTTTGTACGTATGATGTGTGTGTTTCTGTGGACAGGACGGGCAACCAGACATCCTGTGCACCTTCTGGACCAATGTGACAGACACACTGAGCAAGGAGTTCCACAGAGCTGCAGAGGGTGAGCATTATCAGGAGGGTCATGCCCACATGTGTGACGTATAAACACATAAAAACTGAGCTGAAAATGTAATCCATAAAATGTACACCCAGCATTGTAATATTTTGGTTTAAAAAGGGTTTTGTTGTCAGCCTCGTCGTTTCTGAAGCAAGCATTAGAAGGAGAATACCCAAAGCTGCTGAGGTTATTCAATGATCTGTGGCGTCGCCTGCAGCAGTACAATGGCAGCCTGCAGGGGGCGATACCAAGTGGCACGGAGCCTGGTCTGGACCTGAGCTCCACTGAGTCAGAGGGACATGACCTCTTCACCTACGCACAACAGGACTACAAGTGAGTGTGCACAAAAGTCACAAGTGAAATTCTACTAAAAGCTCAGATCTGTGCAAACACACATTTCAAAACAGCTCATAATTACCCATTAATAATGAATACATAAATCTGTATTTTTAGTCAGTACCATAACAAATGATAAAAATGTCACACAGGTTTTTGGAACTGTGTTTGTGAACAGAATGTTTCAACAGGTTTTGAGTTCATACCACATATTCCCTATAGAAAAGACAGTATAGTTTGATTTCAAATGGCGTGATTGCTCTAACAAAGGTCCTCAGTGAGGATGGATGTTTATATTAGACACTTGATTCCAGTTGTGTTGGTGTTGTTTGTGTGTGTAGCCCGGAGAGAGCACTGAAGGACTGCCTCCAGCCCTACGAGTCAGCCTATCTGTCCAAGTCTCTGTCACGCCTCTTTGACCCAATCAATCTGGTGTTTCCTCTGGGAGGGTACAACACGCCCTCCACTGAAGAGCTCGACAGCATCGTGCGCACCATTAGCAGGTAACTTACTGGAGGGAGGCCTACAAAACCCATTTGGACCGTGGTATTTCCGTAAAGTAGTAAAGAAAAAGTAGTTCAGAAATGTATTCCTTTTATGTCAGGTTTGCAGGTGTTATACCATGTTATAACATTGTTCCCTCATCAAAACGTGCCTGAAGAGGTTTTAGATGTCATCCTGGCATGTTTGAGTAATCTGGTAATCTTTCCCAGGCACTATTCAAATGCTCCTTTATGGTTAGCTGTACGAGCCAGTACAAGCCAGTAGGGCTACTTGAAATCACAGAATCAGTTATTCAAATGGTTATATTTTAGTTATGTGATGTATTTATTCAGCATTTCTCTCTTAAAAAAAACAAAAAAAAAACAAAACAAAACACTTTGTTATTGATAATTTATGCAAAACTTTCAAATTGGAAATAAATATAGACTATAAATATGTACCTTAGAGCAGTTTTGCAATGTATAAAACATAAAATGAATAAAATATAAATTTGGAAAAAACTGAGACACTCAAAAAGTACAAAATAATTAAAAGCCTTTAATAGCACATGGCAAATAAACTTAAAATCATGCCAACGCATTTCGGCGCTTTGGCCTTCATCAGGGCAAATTTGAGATGGCTATCACAGTGCAGATTTAAAGTCATAGGTGTAGGTCACATGTTCACAGTGGGCTGGCCCACAGTCCCCTGGTGCATGATGGGACATGTAGGCTGAACAGATTTTAGTTACAAGCTACTTATGTTTAAATATAACACAAGATATAAATAGTACAAATCCCAACAACCAATACATAGAAAGATACATATTATAAAAAGATACATAGTATAAGTGTAGATAGATAGATAGATAGATAGATAGATAGATAGATAGATAGATAGCAAAAATTCAAAGTGCTACAGATATAACAATCATTTGTATAATATATTAAAGGGCTAGTCTTAAACTGTTTCATGGAGGTAAAACAGGAATTGATTACACATTTAAAGCTTTTGGTTTTAAAGGAAGGGGGTGAAATCTAACTCTCCACTGAGTCCTGGAAACTGGGTGGTCTTGAGAGTATAGATCCAGTAGGACTCTCTTTAATAGTTTTTCAGTCTATCTGCTCCTCTTATTGTTTCTGTGTATTGTTTCTATTCTATATGGTCAATGGCACAGATTTTTAGGCTTTTACAGCTGCCAGCTTTTAGGCTTCATCTGCCATCTGGTATTAAAGGCTTTTAATTTTTAATTTTTTATTTTTGAGTGCCTCGGTTTTTTCCTATTTTGTATTTGAGACTGGTCCCTACACTGAAGAGCACCAAAAGGACAATTCTGCACAATTTTTTTGTATATCCAAGTAGCACTCCTGCCCCCAAAAGTTTTGTTGAATAAAATATACTTTGAACATGAAATAAGGCATAGAAAAACATAAATGTATCCAAATTAAACTATATCCAGCTGTTCTACAATCTCTATATTTAAAAAATGTAATAAATATACTATAATAAAACATCATAAAATAAGCTTTGTTAAGCTTTAATCATTTCAACTCAATTATATGAGTTTGGAGATCGTTTGACACACAAAATCACAATCAAAATTTGATTAATTGCACAGCCTTACAAGCCAGTATAACCAGGAAGCACTCTTCAGCACTCCTGCCCATTCTCCTGCACTGCTATTTTTCATAAATATACAAAAGCATGAAAAACAATACACTAACAGAAACTAATTAAACATTGTAATAGATTTTCAGCAAATAAAGCACTTTCAAAATGATAAAAGGTAACAACCAAAAAACAAATAGTTACAAATAGTAGTTACTGAGGCTAACCTACCTCTGTATAACTGGGTCACAAATTTCTCTTTCTCTGCATAATTCATTAGTGTGAGAGTGATGAGACGAGATGTAAGATGTGCGGTTGTTGTGTGCTGACAGTGAGCTGAGCGTGGCTTCGGTGGACCCACAGCTGTCCCTGTCTGTGGCCAAGAACGCAGCCAAGACAGTTCAGCTCTTTTGTGTCAAGTCCGAGCAGCTGGTGAGTCTGGCACAGGGCACATTGAGCTTTGACATTTACCTTAAACTGAAGTCATGATGGACAGATACAGTCACGTCATTTGTGCTTGTAGCAATTATTTGAGCTGTAAATCTTAAATCCTGGTGGTGGTTCAAAAGGCCTGAATAATGCAGAATATACACTATCAGCCTCTTTGTTTACTACTTACTACATTTTATATACATACAAATATATGAAGCAAGATGTATGGAATTATGTAGTAAAGGAAAAAAAAGTATCTATAACTCAATTAGCTATATTTCATATTCAAATCCTCAGAGTATCCACCCTTTGCTTTGTTGACATCGCTGCAAATCATTGGCCTTTCCTCAGTGATCTTCATGATGAAGTGTCATATTTTTGTTTGCTATATTCCACATGTGTCATTCACTCTGTGTGTGTGTGTGTGTGTGTGTGTGCGGCAGTTGTACACGGGGCCGGATGCTACGCAGGTGATCGGCCCGCTCACCGAAGGCCAGAGGAGGAATGTGGCGGTGATCAACAGTCTGCAGCGGCTGCACCAGGCTGTCCTCAGGGTAAGAGGGTTTTATTATTGTATGTAGTACTCCCACTGTGAGTAAGTTTACAAGTGACAAAAGCTTTATGTTGACAATATGAAATGATTTGAACATTTGTGTTTCTTGCAGTGCTCCTTCAAATTTAATTTAATTTAATTTAATTTGTGTCTATCCTTTGAAAATGTAAGATTTTGTGCATTATTCAATGTATTATTTCTTGAGTCACAAGTAACACTGTTTTACGCTTACTTGAGCAATTTCTTAGACCACTACTTTATACTGCTACTTGAGTAATATTATTTTGTATTCTCTACCTACATCTACCTCCAAATCCATTCATTTATTGTAGTTGTATTACATGACCATGCCTCAGGAGAGTAACCAAATAAATCAAATAGATGTGTAGAAAAGCCCTGAATAGATTCCAAATGTCTTGGTGCACTGACTGTGCGTGTGTGTGTGTGTGTGTGTGTGTGTGTGTGTGGGCAGGTCCTCTCCAGTCTGAGCTCCTGTCCGGCTGCTGCTGTGGAGTCTCTTTCCTCCTCACTACAGGTACGGATTATGCACCTTTGAAGCAAGGCTAACCACGGCCTTAGTCATTCTGTGTAGCGTGAAAAAGTCACAGAATGTCATAATGATATGGTCAACTATTTATAAAACTCATTTAGTCAAAAATATAATATAGAAATATAAATAAATGTACTGGTCTTTCTGAATAACTGCATTGAAAACAAACAAAGTGCAGTATCTTTGAGCTGTGTGTGTTATCCAGGGTTTGCAGGTGCTGATGGGCAACGCAGTGCAGCCTCTGCTCCAGTCTGTCAGTGACTCCATCCAGGCCATCCTCCTCACCCTGCACCAGGAGGACTTCTCTGGGTTAGACCACCACCCTGTCATCACACACACACACACACACACACACCCACACACACCCACACACCCACACCATGCTCTACACATACTGACCCATCTCCTCACCCTGCACCAGGAACATTTCTCTGAGTCAAGCCACCACCCTGTCACCACCACCATAGGACACTATATAAATGGACATAGCTAACGTGTTAGCCTCTGCGTTCCAAACTGGAGGTTGGCGTGGGGGCCTTTCCCGCTCCTTCTGACTTTGGCTTCAATTGATGTGCATTGAATATTTGGGTCCCTCTTTCTGTAACTGCTGCTGTGAACCTCGTCATTTTGACTTGAACCTGCTCTACATGATCCTGTGTTTTTAGTTCACTGTTTTGTTCATAGATTCCTATTCTTAATATGGAGCTGAACACTATGGGCGACATCACACTCCCTTAATCCACATCTTTATATGGTCTATGGTCACCACACACATCACACTCCATACACCCCATACACACTAGACACAATATATATCAGGGTGGACAAAATGCTCAACTCAGTTCTGCATAATATTAATTGTATTTCTTTATAAAAAGCACTAAATATCAGTTTTGACACGCTGGTCAGACTGGTAAGAGTTTATGTTATGACTAAGCAATGAAAAAGTGAAGTTGCCTTACAAAAAATGTCATTTTACCTGCATGAGGTAAAATGATAAAATGTGGTTATTTTATCTTAAATTATACTTCATTATCTTAAATGGGCCAGTAAGAGTCCATCAAAGGGCTGTATGTGGCCTGGGAGCTGCACAATGCCCAGGTCTGCTGTATATATTGTACCATGTCCTCACCTGCACCAGGAGGACCACATCCTCCTCACAGTGTACCAGCAGGACTTCTCTGGGTCTGCACACCACACTGTCGCCATATGCACATACATTTAGCTCTTTATACTCCATAATAACCTACAAAGACATATGCATGTATACATGGTTATTTCTGTATGTTTGGTTGAGTCTTGACTCTGCTGTGCCCCTTGGGCTATGTGCTGTGTGCAGAGGGCTGTCCAGCGCTGACAAACCTGATGTGCCCTGCTCACTGTACATGAAGGAGCTTCAGAGCTTCATCTCACGTGTGATGGCTGAGTACTTCCAGAATTTCCAGTGTGTAGACTTCATCTTCGAGCGCACAGAGAGTATTGCACAAGGCGCCATCCAGATGTTCATCCGCCACGCCAGCCTGCTGCGCCCTCTGGGCGAGGGCGGCAAGATGAGGCTGGCTGCTGACTTTGCTCAGGTAAACATCCTGGGCTGTTCCAGTATTTTTTATTATCAGGATTTAGGGTTATCAAAAGTATCAACACTCTGATACTAAGAGATACTACATCTAGTACCAAAAATAGAACAAGTATCAATACTAAAATCACATAAATAAGATACTGAGTTTTCAAAACTAATAGAAACTAGTGTTATTTTGTGTTTAGAATAAGGTACTCAGTTGTATTGCTATTGTTTGTGAACACAATTCACAAACAGGCCCTGGAGACGTGCAGGTCCTGGAGAAATGGGGTGCTGCAGCCCATGTGGCCTTGATGTGCCACGTGTGATGGATGAGGATGGACTCAATGATTGATGGCTATGTTAACTTTCCCTCACCTCCTATAAATTACATTCTATTGTGCACAAAAGGGGTGTTTTAAATTATTCTTGTCATATAGAATATCAAAATATACATTTTGAGATGTAACCACAATCTGCAAAATCTGTACATATTCCCACTGTATCTGGACTTGCCTCCTACCTGAAAAATCAAGTCCCCAAGAGAAGTAAATCCTTTATTAATATTAGATTAGTTCAAAGTTCAGATATGGGTTGAATAACTATGGTTAACTTTAATAATAAGTCTCAAGGAAACAAATGTAAGGCAATGTAATGTCCCCATAACTAATATAAACCTAACATGTGTGCAGATGGAGTTGGCTGTCGCTCCGCTGTGCAGACGCGTCTCAGACCTGGGGAAGGCCTACAGAATGCTCAGGTCCTTCAGGTCAGTATACATGTTTTTTTTGTTTGTTTGTTTTACTTTTAACAACTACAGCAGCTAAAATGGAATTGGAGGCATCATTATTTCTAAGCAAATGTCTTTTTAAAGATGATTCTGACACATTTTCAGCAGATGTCTGTAACAACCAAAGTAATCCACATGTGCCAAGAAATCCGAGCATATGTACAGTCTTCTGTAGTGATTTGAAATGACATTTTGCATTGGACACAAATCCCAATTCACACATTTATGTAGTAGTGAAAGGAATAAGCATAAAAACACTGGCCCTTCTGAGGACAGGAGATTCACTCGCTCTCTGTGTCAGAACTGTGTATCACCGAACCTACATGCAGATCATGACAAGGCAACCCAAAAAAAAATCTCTTGAAACCCACCTGAGAGTCTCAAAATAGTCTTTGGGATACAATGAACTTGACAATCTAAATTAACAAAGCTAGACTTTGTTGCTCCCCCCTTTGGCTTGGTCCAGGAGGTCGCTGCTAATGTCCACATAAGGTCTTGCCTCCTAATGATCAAGTCCCTTATCTCTTAATTAAATGTATGTGTATGGTAATTAATGATGTAATTAATTAAATGTGAAATCTAAAATGTAAATCAACTTAAAGAAAAATACTAACTCTGTGGAGTGGTGGCAGAGGAATCCAGCACCGAAACATTGCCTTAAACTAAAGGGCCTATTATGCAGATTTTTGATCTACATTATTTTATAATGTAGTTTCCTCATCAAAAAAAAAAAAAACAAACATCCCAGAAATTCAGTTTTATTTCATTCACACATGTTTAACACACAAACACATTTAGGCTGAGTTCTCCTCTCAAATTGAAAACACTGTGATACTTATTGAGGAGGAAGCGTTCCCCTGTGTTTTTATTGTTTTTATACTCCATATACCTTCACTAGAATCATTTGAGTAATTTGCAGTCCTTTAAATGCCAAACTTCAAAGCTACATCTATTGTTGAAACACATTCACTTCATGAAATAAGAGAAGATACTGTAGACTTTGTGCTTTTTTTTATTATTTTTTTTAAAGACAACAACTTAAGGTTATTCTTGTATCACGTGAAGTTCTTAATATTAAAATACGACTTGATGACATCACAAGGTGGAACAGAGCATTTTGAGCTTTGCAGGCATAGACAGATGAAACAAAACACAACTCCAGTTATATTTTTGATAAGGTGACAACATTCTAATACGGCTTAAAGCTCACAAGAGTCAGGAGGAGTCACAAAATTCTGCTGTTGTACACTAAATGATGACACTAGTATAAAAACAATAACACTCTAAATGGAGGTCCCAGCAGGTAACAGCTGTTTGTTCTCCACACTCCAGGCCGCTGCTCTTCCAGGCTTCAGAGCTGGTGGTGTCTAACCCGGCCGTGGGAGAACTCATCCCCTACAGCACGGTCCTGCACTTCCTCTTCTCCAGGGGCCCCCCAGAGCTAAAGGGCCCACACCAGGTCAGTGAAGATATTGAATAAACAGACCTAATTTCAAAGATATGAGAACATGTTCAAATCAAATATAGCTCTTACAAGTAACAAGTAATGCCGATTTTATTCTTAATTATAACACTGGACATAATGGCCAAAGTGTGACAAGTGACAAAATTATAAACGAGTCTTTGGTCTCTACCTAAACGCCAGCACCTGCACCAGTCATGAGTTGGTGCTAGTGCAGCGCCTGCAGCTCAGGGAGGAATTCTGTAGGCTCTGAGCTTCACATGAGGCCTGGGCATGGCCTGTCCATATACTGAGAATGAGAGTGCAGGCTACATACAGTTCCTTTAACGGAGACAGATTATGCAAAATGTTATTAGGGTTTTCCCTTGAGTAGAATATTGTGTGATATTATATAATAATATTATATATAATATTGAAGTGAAGTGAATATTGAAAACAACCTTATCCTTTATTTGAAGAATTCAAGAGACAGGATTTGAATGAAGTCAGTTGAAGTTCTGTTTTAATCCAGGTTTCTCCTGTCCTGGTACATCTTGTTCTCAATTACATACAGTGTGGCACATTCTTACCTTATTTTAAGGTCTGTTTAGTCTTAAAACCTTGGCCTGTGTTAGTCCTGGTTATGACCTACTTAGACCTGGTGTAGTTCTGTACTTCCAAGATGCTCTGGGTATGGAAAGCTCACTGATGCTCTGGTTGACTGGTCTTGTTGACAGAGGGCAGACTGGTCTATCGCACGATACTCCCAATGGCTAGATGACCACCCGTCGGAAAGAGACCGCCTCACACTCATACGGTGAGTCCCTCCATTCTGTTTGAGTGGGGTGTACAAAAAGAGGCTGTCAAATCTCAGTTTCTACATTGATTGACAGAGTGACCGAAATAATTGCTTAGAGTTGCATGACAGGGGGCGTGGTCGGAGGGGTTGATGGCACAGATTGTGTGAAGTGAACGAATAATGCTCTGTAAATGTCTTTGAGTGTCCAGAAAAGGGCTATATAAACTGAGAAAAATAATAATAATAAATCATTCTCTGTTGAAATGAGTGGGATTCCCGATTAACCATAAACCATAAACCATACAAAACCATGATACAGAACTGTACACAGCAACTTGACAAACCTGCTGACGTGCAGTACTTTCATTAGTGGGATGCATATTGACTATAGTGACTCTGATGAGGGAGTAACTAGAAGTGTGGAGAGCAAAAGGGGCTCTATGAAACATGTTCATTTGTTTTGGGTGAATATATAGCTTTTTCAGAACAATAAACGGTAGCATAAAACAACCAAAACAAGACCATAATATGTGTATACAAAATAAACTAGTTATAAATGAGCAAATGGGAATGCTGTGCATATAAGCCCAGTGTTTGAATCTAATGCTCTTTTGTACAGCATATACCTGTAGATAACTTCATAAGCATCAGCTCATCTTGAATGTGAAGGTCATATACATGTATTTGTGCAGAGCAAGCCTGGAGGCCTATGTCCAGTCGGTGAGAGCCCGGCAGGGGAAAGAGTTTGCCCCCATCTACCCCATCATGCTCCAAGTGCTGCAGAGGGCCAGTGCACCGACCGACGCCCGAGCCTGACCAACACACCCATGGGCACAAGGACTGTGGTTTTAATCTGCATCTGACAGATGAATATTTTCTTTATTCTGACATGGTTTGGTGGGATGGTACTCAAGGTAAATATTAATAATTTTGTAAGTCAAGTGTCAGTACTTTTTCCTCACAAACTAACAGCTTAGAAAATACATGCAGTGTAAGTTCTAGAATTCCTCTACCTGTTATCAATGCCTCAATTTATGCACAATGATTTAATAAACTTTCCTGTCAAATCATAAGAGCTGTGTAATGTTGACAGGTTTTAGCTTTTGGTAACAGTTATGAAATTACTCTGCCTTGGTCACGGGCAGATGTGACAAACATGAAGTAAAATGAGAAACTTGACCAAAACTACAAAAGACTAGTCATGATTTGTGTAATTTTATCATTTTAAACTACAGGTTAGGGAAATAAAGCTCATATGACGTGTCAGACTTAAGTTTTACTATGAGTAAAATAAATGTCTGAAAAACAAGGAAAACATTTTATTTACACAGGTGAACATTAAATGCAGACACAGCAGCAGTTGTACAGTTGTTTGGGGGTGGAGGGTGCTTTAGATGGGCCACTTCCACTGGTTTGGGGGTGGCTCTTCCACCAGCGGCTCCCAGGCCTTCCACTCACTCATCTTCCGAGACAGGCTCAGCTCACACTCCGCCTGCATGACAAGGATTTAACTCAGTCACAAACATTCTGTTAAAAAAGCCTATATTGCACCAGTTTCTGATCTACACTAAACTTTCCACCCTGTGATGTGGTGATACAGGAAACATTCCACTCTGTGTTTAATCTCCATACACCTTCACAAGAACCTTTTGGATGATTTCAGATTTAACGTAAAATGTAGCTGTTAACTTAAACTACCACTACATGACATCACAAGGTAGGGGTGTGCAAAAAATATCGGAATATCGATATATCGTATCGTTTAAAGTGATAATACAGTATCGATATCGAGTATTATTAGGTGTGTTTTACTAAATTATTTTGTTACAGTGCTACAGTTTTGTTGCTTGTGAAGTGAAAGGAAACTCATTTATGCCACACATTTGACATTTTTACTGTTTTGAGAATTAAAATGTTTGTGTTTCATATGAACTTTGCATAAGAAGTGATTTAACAAAGCCCTTTAGTATCACAGCCACGATTTAGCCTTTATTTTTTATTAAACCGTATCGAATCGGCAGCTCCTTAATGATACCCAGCCCTATCACAAGGTGGAAAAGAGCATTTTGAGCTTTGGAGATGAAGACATCATAATACAGAGTTAAACAACAAAACGTCTCCAGGTATGTTTTTGAGGGCATGACTTAAAGATAGAAGAATCAATTTGTGTAATATAGGACCTTTAACAAGACAAGGAACGTTACAAGTCCCCAAATCTATTCTTCCAGCTTTTATATATTGAACGATTAGTCAAGATAGTAGATCTGCTATTAATCTTACAGTATGGGCCCAGCCAGCTGCCTAAATGTGCATGAAAACACAAATACATAACCAAGAATACATGAACTTATGAATCTTTAAAAAAAAATGGCATATATCGTGAGTCACATGGTAAAAGTTATTTTTGACATCCCTGGGTGTACCATGATAAAAATTTTCAGCTGTGAGCCTCTATGGAGCAGTTTACCAGCTGCATCTGAGGAGGACGCCACACTAACTGTTTCCCTACTGGACCAAAATATTTAACAATGCAGCGTGTAAGGAGGGACGCGTGTGTATTGAGCGAACAATTCAATATTAAATCAAATATGTTGCATCCCTAATGAGTTTGTACAGAATTCTGATTAGACCATGAGGAAAATTACCAAAATCAGATAAACATATTGGCCCAAAAATATCAGCAGAGGTCATCAGGCATCGATTCCTCTGGTTTCTCAAACAATCTGTATCATGATCACACTCACAGGCTATATATATTTTTTTTATGTAGCTTCATCTTCACCAATACATTTTTATAGAGTAAATGCATAGTCTGTTTATGGAGTAGGGCCAAAAATTTATCTTAAAAAAGGTCATAAATTATACTTTCATCTTGTGGAAATGTTAAACACCAAGTAACCATTTTTAATCTGTAAACATTTTATCAGTATTTAACAGTACAGGCAATAAGGCATTTTTTACTCCCCAAATTGTATTCAATAAAATGTTTTGAATATGGATTGTGTGTGTGCCACTAAATCTCAGTATAACCCAGTGGGAAACACTGATATACATTTCATCCAATACTGGAGCAAACAAAGCAACATCTCTCTGGAGACAAGCGGCCCTCCCTCTGGACCATCCATAATGCAACTTTACAGCCACTGGATCCATTTAAGTGCCCAGAACATTCTTTTTGTAATCAATTCTTTCAATTGCAGTGTTTGTGACGTTTTGTTGCTCACCTGGAAAATAACCTCTTCAATCTGACCACAGCTGATCTTCTGCTCCAGCTTCTCCACATCCGGCTCCTGCAAAACACCACAGCCTTCACTCATCTGTTTGTGTCTATTCTTCTACTGCATTCTAAAAGCGCAAGTTCATCTTCTAGAATATGATATCAGTCGCAGAAGAGAAATGCCCAGTAAAACTAAAGCAGAGGCTTCACAACAGAGGTTCAAAAAACGTGTTAACTTGCTGAGTCGTTGGTCTCCTGAGAGTTTCTCTCTGACAAACAGGTTTGGAGCAGAGTTAAAAAAACTCACTTTATTCACCTTGAGTTTAGCCAAGGACTCTGTCAGTGGAGGGGAGGGGGTGAATTAAGGTTCAAATCATTCAAATTGAGTGTGTAAACGAGAAGAGAAAATGTAACATTAAAACATTACACTTAACAGATTTAACATAGATCAGAAAATTGTTTAAATGTTGTTTCCTCATCACAAACATACCTGGGCCTGTGTTTTATTTCACACGTGTTTAACACACAAACCCTGCAGATTTAGGCCGAGTTCTGCTCTCAAACAGAAAACACTCAGCTTTGATTTCAGTTTATGGGCAGATGCTCTATTGTGTTTTTAAACTCCATACACCTTTACTAGAATAATTTTGATGATTTCAGACCTGGAATTGCCAATCTCTACTGAAGAAAATGTAGCCTTTAACTTACACTACATGACATCACAAGGTGGAACAGAGCATTTTGAGCTTTGGAGATGTAGACTGACAATAAACCAGCATCAATCAATGTGTGCATGAAGCAAAACAAGCTCATGTATGTTTTGATCATGTAACAGCATTACAACATGGTTAAAAGCTCACAAGAGTCCATTTTGTGTAATAGAATGCTCCAAATGCATACAATTGACAAATATCCTTAAAGAGGGGGTATTTCTATGGGATATTAATTACTAACACATAACATATTTAGATCACCATGTTACCTTTTATTCTTATTCTCCCTTGAGTCAGTCACCGCTAATGAAATCATTGCACATCGCATCAGGTTTTTTTAGTATTTATGGAGAACTGTCAGGAGCCTTCAGAATCTTACTGTAAGGAGGGTTTGAATAGGGCCCTGGGCAGACTGCTAAAATACTCAAACATGCATGGATGACATCTAAAGCCTCTTGAGGCATGTTTTTACTAAGGGAACTTTATAACCATTGGTGGGCTGTCAGGGCCTGGAAGGCCTTCTCTGCCGGCCTAAAAAATATCTGAATCACAGACTGATGTTAATTGTATTATTATAAAATTCCAAATGGTCTGTCCGCTTCCTTTCATATTTTTTTCCAGTGATTGTACTGCTTCCAGACATGTATTTTCATATTAAAGCATTTGACCAATCACATTTCAGCCATCATTTGTTGCCAGGTGAATCTCAAAGCAGTGTACCGGAGGCCTTCCCAATCTGTTCTGCAGGCCCTCGAACTCAATAAATGTCCATGAAACTGTTGCTTCAACCAATCAGATTTTGCGCTGGTGTCACCAGAGCCTTCTAACAGACGTATGGCAATGTCACCGGATTCAGACCCATTGATTGGACAGCGACCGTCAGAGAGCGACAGAGAGAGTGAGAGAGAACCCCGAGCCCGCGCAGCAAGGTGTCCGCAAAGTGCAATCGGGCGACGGCTGCATTTAGCCCCACGGGGTGTGGAGCTCTGGGCCAGTACTTTCACCTGGGGTCATCCGACGGACTACGCGGGCTCCCCCGACACTCAAATGGCCCTCGCTTTGACTACGTCTCTCCAAAACATGTGAATCCTTGCAAAACTATCGTTGTCACATGGAATCTCTGCATACCCCCAGCTCCCCACTTCTTCACCGTGCACAGAATCTCCTCGGTCATAAAATAGTTATTGAGGAGTGCATTGTTTCAGAGGGAGTGAACTGCACACTCCGCCACTGATTATAACAGTAGAAAACTCCATGAAACAATTTTGCACAATACCCCCCCTTTAAATCGCTCACACATCTGAAATCATCACATCGTGAGTTTCTGAGTCGTTGGTCTCCTGAGAGTTTCTCTCTGACAAACAGGTTTGGAGCAGAGTTAAAAAAACAATGGACAGAAACATGTTGGTTAATCCTGGCATCATGTGTGGAGCTTGTACTTACTGTTTTGACATGGTGCAGTCTGTCATTGACCAGCTGTTCTGTGTACTTCCTGTAGGCGGCGTCTTGTGGCATGCTTTGCAGTGAGGCCAGGATCTTGGAGTACAGGATCCTGAGCCGCTGGGCACACACAGCAGTCACAACACAGTCACAAAGAAAAGGCACAAAGAGCAGCCTGACACAAGTCTCCGTGAACCAGGGAATAAAGAACAAAGTGTAACTGTGATGTTGTGACTTTGGCTATTCCCAAGTCAGTTCAGAGAAGGTACAGCAAATTAAAAATATAGAAAATTTGATCATCTCTGTGTAGTTGTGTAATGACAGCTCTTATTGCGATACACAATATCAACTGGTATCAGTGCACAGACTGGGAACAGCATTTATCAAATACTGCATCTGATCACTGCATTCCTACAACTACTGTACAGGAGTATTTGCGTAAACACATCCCTACAGAAAACCCTTCAGACAGCAACAGAAGAGATTTTAATTTGATTATTTAATTTACTGGAAATTGGCACACTACAGTCACAGATATAATGGAGACAACATTAAAGACTTACCTCGTGTGGGTTCTGGGACACTGCAAGGCCGACCAGCCCGGTGGTCTGAGGAAAGCACAGGGACAGAGGAGTTAGTTCAACATGTGATTTAAAACTCCATGTCCTGTCCAAGTCATTTCTTATTTATTTATTTGTAAAGGAACAGCACAAATTAATGAACATTTAAAATGTAAATATGTAAAGATGCAAGCATGGCTAATTTCCATCTCCCGTCCCTTGGCAGGTTGATGTGAAGTCATCTACAGGACAGGGAAAAGTACAACAACAATCACACAAAAGTACACAACACCAGCACACTCACCATACACACACACAACACACTCACTGTACACTCACTATTCATACAATTCATTTCAAACAGTTCCTTTGAAGTTTGAAGTCAAGAGTTAAAGAGTTAAACCAACAACCTCAATATAAAAAAATGTAATTTGGTTAAACATGGTGACATATTTGGCCATGTCATGTCCAAAACTAGTAGAAAGTTATCGTGGGCTCCTGTATCGCCAAGAGTATTTTTTTTGGAATGTTTTACTAAATTATTGTGTTAGAGTGCAACAGTTTTGTTGCTCGTTTAGAGGAAGGAAACTTGTTTAAGCAGCGGATTCGACATTTTCACTGGTTTGATTATTAAAATGTTTGTGTTTCATAAGAACTTTGCACAAAGACTTTTAGTATCACAGCCATGATTTAGCCATTATTTTTATTGAACTGTATTGCATCAATTTACTGTATCGAAAAGTTCAATGTACTGAGATATGCATTGTATCATGGCCCATGTATCGAGGTATGTATCGTATCGGCAACTTCATAATGTTATTCAGCCATATCCTTGATTGTTGTAACCCTTTAAACCTTAATTAGTAGTCTAGCGTTTGAATGAACCAAAGTACAACCTGAAGTACGTTTTGATGAGGTAACAACATTAAGGCTCACAAGAGTCAATTTTGCACAATATAGGACCTTTAAAGCCAAAGCATCAGTATCGGTATCGGTACGAAAAGACTGGGTTGGTCCATCCCTAATTTCACCTTTATCGCCCTTAACCAGTGTTTGTTGTTTCATGTGGACAGGCCCAGTGGGGTTTAGATAGACATCAGAACCATAAACCACGCCAAAGTAACGTTAACCGTTTTATCACACCTTAAGAGAAAACTCAACAATGTCCTCGATGTTTATTTTAAACCTGTGGAAATGTTGGTCTGAACGCTGGTTTAGACATATTGCTGCAGAAGTGCGCAGGACCATGAGCTAAAGCGCATTCGAGAGACGGCTGAGGGTCATTTACACACCGAGCACCGCTGGGCCCGTGTGCGGAGGAGAAACAAAGCTAAATGTGCATAAATGTGCATAAAAGTGCGTGAAGGTGCAGAGTGACCGCTGTTACCTTCTTGAGCACGCCCGCCATCTTGTCCTCTATAGCATCAGCGGTTTCTTCTTCGTCTTCTTGTGTGGTTTTATTGGCAAACAACTACTGGTGCATTACCGCCACCAACTGATAAGGAGTGTGAACTTAAATGCGACTTGCTGATAATACTAATTAAAATAAAATAAAAAATAAATAAATAAATGATACTACTAATAACAATAGAGATCAAATAACTAAAGCAAAAATAATGACTCAAATCCTGTTAATCAAATTAATATACTTGAGAAACTTAAATAAAACTCTGAAACTGCTATTCCTGGGTGCTGCTGTAATAATTGCACCAAATCAAATCTCCTTGAGCCTTTTCTTGTACGGGGCGTAGGGCCGAAAATCACTGGGCTGAAAATCACTGTACATCATCTAGACAAGTGGGGCATCTAAAGTTATGGAATTTAGTTTGCTAACTGTCACGGTTCACGTGCAGCGAAGCTGCAAATTTCATTCAGTTTTTTTGCAATTCTCCAACATCAAATTTTGTTCCCGTTCGCACATACAAAGTCCGATTGGCCTCAAATTTGAATCACTTGGAAAAGTTTCTGGCCAAAGCCTACTAATTGTGACAAAAACTAAAATGGGGCGATAGCGCCCCCTACAGAACACAACAATAATTTGCATGGAGGGTGAAAATTTTAGTTTTTCCAAAATGAACAAAATTTTGCAGAACATTACCTTGGGGCTTTTCAATCAAAAAAGTCAACATAAACCCAAAGGTATTTTTAACCATGTTGCCATGGTGATGCACGAAAGCTCCAATGTTATCCTAAACAAAGGGAAAGATCAGAAAAGTTCCCATTCATGAAAAAAAAATTACAATCATGGAATATTCTCAAATTTGGCACAATGACTCTTCGTGTCATCCTGATCAAAAAAGTCAATGACAGTCATATGTGAATATTATATATTTCACAGGGTTACCGTGGCAATGTGCCAAAGCGTCCTTGTTATCCTAATGGCAAAATTTAAACAATTTCTTACATTTCAAAGTGATAAAACAATTTATTAATTTCACTGAAGAATGTGAAATTTGTCACAGTGATTCTTCAACTCACCCCGATCAAAAAAGTCCAGGGGGCCAAAGTGGTATTTTGCAGTGTTGCCATGGTGATGTTCCAAAATGCAAATGTTTATTTATGTTAACACATCAGCATCTCCAAGGTGTGTGACTTTGTGTTTACTGACAGGTACAAACCAAAGCCACAATCACATGGAATCACAAGCAAAAACGTATATTACTGACATCAGAACGTTTCATGGTTGGCCAGCAGGGGGCGCAAAGAACATTTAAAGGCGCACTATGTAGATTTTCTGGTGGAGGATGTGTTGGCACACAAATTCAGGAAAATGACAGGGTTCGGTGAGGAGTTACAGTTCAGGTAAGGACTAGGGTTACAATTGGGGTAGGGGCTATGGTTAGGGTTACGACTAGGGTTAGGTTTAAAGTTACGGTTACATTGAGGGTTAGAGCTAGAGTTATGGTTTGGGCTAGGAGTTAGGCGCGGCGTTTGCAGGGCAGGGTGTTGCGGGCATGGCGGGCACTGGGCGAGGGCCGTTCAACACTGCTTGCAGCTTTAATTGTATTTCTCTCCCCTGTATATTTTCTACACTCCATAAATACATGTTCTATTGTTTGTGGTTGTCCACAGTTGTCACAATGCCTGCTATTATGGTTTCCTATTTTATTTTATAGTTTAATCCTGAATGTCCAAATCTTAACCTCAAAGTTAGCATATCTAATTTAGCATATCTTGATTCCACTTTTTTCTAAGTTTTACGAGTTGTATACAGTCAGATGAGACGAAGTATAGAGCTCAGATAAAAAAAATATATATATATAAATTATGCTGGCACTATGAGAAAAAAGTCGTAACATTTCGACATTAAAGTTGTAATTTTATGAGAATAAAGTCATAATTTTACAAGAATAAAGTCGAAGTCAAAATAAAGTCGTGGCCGGGAGCAAGACTGGGTCTGAGACCGGGACCAGACCAGGACTGAGGCCAGGACCAGACCGAGACCAGACCAGGACTGAAAACAATTTAGTCCTGGTTTAGTCCTGTTTTAGTCATGATTCGGTCCTGGTTCAGTCCATATGCAGCCCAAAGTCTGGCATTGCAGTCACGGAAGTCATGTAAATGGGAAACAGCCGTTATCTGCTTTTTCATTTTGGTTTTGGAGAAAAATAATGAAGAAAACCCTTGTGTTTTCATTTTCTTTTTTGGTTTTATATTGAAAAACGAATGAACGAATGATACAAGGACTGATACTTCTCCTTTACAAATTGGCTGGAAGCCAGGTTCACTCCTCAGGATGTTTTTTACTAATTTTTTTTCACTATTATTTCCTGTTATCTTATATCTTGGGCCATAATAAACTCATAGGGACCATTCGGTCATTTGGTAGAGCATGAGACTCTTAATCTCAGGGTTGTGAGTTTGAGCCCCACATTGGGCATTTGCTGTTTTGAACATGATGGAAAAAATAGCCATAACAGTCCCTGGCAACCTCATTTCTACACACATACATTTCAACACGTTTACTGGAAGATACATAGAGGTCTCAAGGCCAATATAGGGGAAATGTCAAAACGTCTTGAATGCCCATTCATTGGACATTGTGCTTTGAGCAACTTGCAAGGATGTAGATCGCCTCAATGGCTGCTTTACTCAAAGTTGAATATTGCTTAACTACTTTGCTACATTGCTTCTTCTTGGATACACTACTATTGCTGCAGCTGTGAAATCATCTCAGTTTCAAAGACGCTTCAGATGATGCACTAGTTATATATGCTTGGTGCCAATTCAACAGTAAGTACAAGTATGGTCATTTGTGCCAGGAAAGCCAGTAATAATGGATTAGGGCCTACATACTGACAGCACACACCAGGACCAACATGCAGCAGGATGTCAGGATGGCCGAGCGGTCTAAGGCGCCAGACTCAAGGTTAGCACCTTTCTCACCATAGGAACTTCTGGTCTCCACATGGAGTCGTGGGTTCAAATCCCACTCCTGACATAGCAATTCTACATAGACTAGCTTTTGAACTGTAGGCCTGTTTATACACCACTGAATTAAAATCACATGAGTTTAACGACACAATGAAACACTTGAACATCTCCAAAATGAAAGGCTTTGATGTTCCCTCAAACATAGATGAACTGTGATGGTCAGTGGTCGCAAAGGCACATGTACTGGCCCAAAGTACTGACAACGTTCTCCAAGGTTAGATTTGAATGGTTGATGTTGTTTTGTTCTCTCATCTGCTTTATATGTCCTTGTATTTAGTGTGTATTTTTTGAAGAACATTGTGTCTACTCTCATTGTAATATGCTTTATAAATAAATGTGTCTCTGTGCATAACCTTCAGCCTCAGTCAAATACTTTACAATCCAAGCTGCTTCTTTAGTTCTGGTCAGACGCTGGTGGACACTTCCTTATATCTGTCTGCAGGGATTAGCTAACTAACTGAAACTAACACACACATTTGTTTACAGTTTCTGTTAGTTAGTTCGGCCTTTTGACCTGTACAGGGTGTGGGGTCTTATTAGCAGAACAATTCATAACCCATAATGGAGCTTTCACACCTCTGGACCTGACCTGGATACACCTGTTGTTTTCTTGTTTGTTTTGAATTAGGTTTGAGGATGGAGTTGTAAATAGGAGGTAGATGGTGTCTGAGGCCTCCGTTTCTGTTTAGAGAAGGATTCTCTTTCTTAACAAAAATGGCTTCTTTCACTCCCCTCTCAAATCACTTCTTTTCTCTGGTTAAAATCTGTACCTTGCTGTCCTCAAATGAGTGGCCTGTGGCTTTTAAGTGGAGATGTACAGCAGACTGAGGTCCACTGCTGCTCTCTCGTCTGTGTTGGTACATCCTCTTGTGAAGTAGCTGTTTAGTTTCAGTGTAGTTAGCTCCTCCCTGCAGACAGATACAAGGAAGTGTCCACCAGCGTCTGACCAGAACTGAAGAAGCAGCTTGGATGAGCTGTGAAACGTCTTCAACCAAACTAACTTTTGTTCAGTTGACAAACAGAATTTTCTCCTCACCTGGATGACTGAAGGATTCTTCTCACATACAGTAATTGTGAATATATATCACATATCCTGAATCACGTATGGTACTGTACTGCGTGTAGATGCCCGACTAGCTCAGTCGGTAGAGCATGAGACTCTTAATCTCAGGGTCGTGGGTTCGAGCCCCACGTTGGGCGTTTGAGGTTTTGAACGTGATGAAAAAATAGTCATAACAGTCCCTGGCAACCTCATTTCTACACACATACATTCCAACACATCTACTGGAAGATACATAGAGGTCTCAAGGCCAATGTAGGGGAAATGTCAAAACGTCTTGGATGTCCAAGGCATCGACCTTATGTTAAACTCCTTACTGAGCCCTAACCCACCTGATCTCCGAATGGAGTCGTGGGTTCAAATCCCACTCCTGACATAGCAATTCTACATAGACTAGCTTTTGAACTGTAGGCCTGTTTATACACCACTGAATTAAAATCACATGAGTTTAACAACACAATGAAACACTTGAACATCTCCAAAATGAAAGGCTTTGATGTTCCCTCAAACATAGATGAACTGTGATGGTCAGTGGTCGCAAAGGCACATGTACTGGCCCAAAGTACTGACAACGTTCTCCAAGGTTAGATTTGAATGGTTGATGTTGTTTTGTTCTCTCATCTGCTTTATATGTCCTTGTATTTAGTGTGTATTTTTTGAAGAACATTGTGTCTACTCTCATTGTAATATGCTTTATAAATAAATGTGTCTCTGTGCATAACCTTCAGCCTCAGTCAAATACTTTATAATCCAAGCTGCTTCTTTAGTTCTGGTCAGACGCTGGTGGACACTTCCGTACAATTCATGGTCATAATGGAGCTTCCACATCTCTGGACACCTGTTGTTCTCTGGTTTGTTTTGAATTAGGTTTGAGGATGGAGTTGTAAATAGGAGGTAGATGGTGTCTGAGGCCTCCGTTTCTGTTTAGAGAAGGATTCTCTTTCTAAACAAAAATGGCTTCTTTCACTCCCCTCTCAAATCACTTCTTTTCTCTGGTTAAAATCTG